ACAATCATTACAATCTTATTTATACTATCAGCTAGTTACTATACCTAATTTAATTTTGCATGCGTCTACGGCGTAAAATATTCTTAAATTCTATAACACGAGTAATACGAGTAACACTGTCGCAAAGCGTAGACTAAAAATATTATATAAGTATATATGTATGTATCATTATATTTTAATTATAATATCATTATTTTGTTTTCATAGACAGCAAACAGTGCAACCGCAGGTAGCTAGATTTTCACAAGTAACCTTGATACTTTAGTCTTGAGATGTCTTATAAACTTATCAAATATTAAAGTGAATTGACCTATTATCAAACTTAAAAATAAAAATATTTTCATTTTTAATATTAATATGATTATTTTAACTATCACAGTTCAACAGGTAACCAATAAATGATAATGATATAGGTAGGATCAGGGTTTAGAAAAAGGTCTAATTCTAGCCATACTTATTTGTATTTACCTTATAACCCGGTCCATTCAAATAGGTATTCACTACTCATTTAAATAAGTACTGTTAAAGTTTTGAAAAAAGGATATACTATTAAGTAATTATTTGTTACTTTAATTGGAAGCTTTGATCAACATAATAATAATATGATTATCATATTACAGCATATTATACATTTTATCCCATAGGTTCGTGAAATAATAATTATAATAACATTATGAAAACGTTGCTTCAGGCCATACGCATAATATGAAATCTTTTTGAACACGCGAACATAATAATAATAATGGATGTTTTGCTCGTGATAACAAAATTAGCGTCTGTCTCACTAGTGATAACCAATAAATCAATAAGTAAGATTTAATATTTTGTTTAAAAATACCGAAAACCCAGTGTCTTTTATGGATGAAATTTTCAAAATTCCTTCCTTAGTGGATGCCAAAAAGTACCTAATGTGAAAATTCCATCCCCGCAGTTTTGGCTGAATGTTGATTCTCTGTCAGTCAGGGTTAATCTTAAATATAAAGCTCTGTGAAATCATTATTGTCATTATTATATAAATTAGCTTTATATTTTAATTATTATCATTATTATTAATATTTAATTGCTTTGTTCTTTTTTCTTTTTGTCCTTTTTTTATAGTGTTCATTTATATTTCTTTTTTTTCGTTTATATAGAGATTTTTGTCAATAAAAACAAAAATTTCATCCTCAATGATAGACGATGCAGTAAAATTTGTAAATATTTGTAATCATGTAAAATTTTAAAAACACAATACTGCAGCTTAATAAATAAATCTTTATTATCATTATTATATTTTATACTAGCTAAACTGATGCATATCACATATTTTTAATCAATATTGAATATTAAACGAATAGGTAACTAGATTAAAAAACATAATAGTATTTAATTTTAGTACAATAATTGTTTGGAAGAAAAGGGGTTTCAGAATTTATAGTGAATTATTCTATCCAATTCAAAACCTTAAAACCACAGAACACACAAATAATCTGGAAGACAATGAGGAGACATGCCAAGATAAAATTTGTTTTTTAGTTTTGTTTATTATTATCTACTAGAAAAAAAATCACGGTTTGAATTCTGGTTACAGTGTTAAATTAAATATAAAAAAAAAACCATTGCACAAATTAAAACAAATTAGAAATAATTTTGGAAAAATTACAAATTTCAGGATTTTTCTACTATAACTCAAATAATTAACAAGTGACCATCTTTGAAAACACTATCAGATTTAGTACTCTAAAAAACAAAACATACTTTAAAAGAAATAACAATCAAAGTTACTTGGGCCGTTAATTATTTATTCCAAATGAAAAATGACTTCAGTAAAAATATGAAAATAATGAGACATTCTTAGCACTCTCACACAAATAAGTTATTTTATAATGTACCTGTATTTAAGAAATTATAATGGGTGATTAATAACAAGTAAAAATTCCTGTAAGATTTTTAAAATAATTTAATTCTACTACTAGCTGCTTCAATCTACATTATTGGCAGTGAATATAACTAAAATTAATAATATCTACATATTTTTAAATATTTGTATTATTTGGAATTCAAGTAAAAATAACAGATACATTATACAGAAATGTCTGTATATTATTTGTTTATAAATTCCAAGTAATTTCTTAATAATTGTAAAACTATCACCTATATATTATAAACTGTATAAATGTGGGAAATACTTTGTGAAGGAAGGTGGAACAACAAAACAATACATTAAAGAAAATCTTATTGTTATTTTTAGACTGTAATCATATGATAATGTTATATGTTATGGTTAAGCAGGGGTCAAAAGAAGTTACTAGATTTACATACATAACTGCCGTTTTCAAATTTAAACAGAAATAATCCTTAGATCATGATATAGTATCATAATATATGACCTAAGAATAAACCACTATATTTTAGTGAGGTAAGAAAATTTAAAAAAAAATACTATTAGCCCGCTCCAAAACCATGACTAGCCCTAATACATTTTTTTCTGACTTAGCTCTCCTAAAATGTTGACTTTGGTTGTACCTACTTGTGTCATTTAAATATCGTGGTGCGTATTGCCGGGATGTAGTAAATACTATGTAGAGTACCGTTAATATAATTAATATGAATAATTTTGTTCAACACCGAATTGTTACAATAAATAAAATAATTTAATACGGGTTATCCACTTTCATTACGACTTTTCGAACCACTGGTCGATTTGATAGTGATATCATAGACCGTGGTTATGGGAAATACATCACCACATTATTAACTAAATAATATTTTATTATAATGTTGGTATTAGGATTAAGTCAATCGCAGAGACATATTTAAGTGAGCAGCAACCCCTCCTTGAAATTTTAAGAAAATCTAAACATTATATTCATGATCTATAAAAGTCGCCTCAATAGTCTTAAATAGTTCATATCTTTATTTTGTTAGCTTATCTTATCGCTTATGGACAAAACTTTACTGCGGGACTACGGGAGAACAAACAGTGGAAATCGTAGATATTAATAATATTATAAAACTGTCGATAACGATCGCCGAAAGGTAGGGAGACACAATCGTACGCTTTTCTGAAAATAATTTTATCAATAAATATTATTTATTGTACACTGTACAGTCTACCACAGTAATGACCTTTGTAGTTTGTTTACTATTTATACCGAACTAAGTTCACTTATACGACAGTGTTTTTAATACCAATACTTTTACTATTATTTTGTTTTTATTTTAATGCTTGACGACGATGTTTATAAATTTTGATCAGTCCCTCCCGAAATAAAATTTTGGCACCTGAGTCAATGCATTATTATATTATTATATGCTACGGTAATATCGATTTCATTATTAGATAGGTACCTACTAGGTACGTTAAAATATCAATATTATTTTAGGTACTCACTAGTCAAGCCGCTAACGCTCAGTATATTTTCGACACTACTCCTCTGATTTTGTGTCCAGATAACGGATGTCTAACCGTGGTCTAGACGAACATGGCACTATTTGCGAACGAGCTTTTTAAGTTAAATATGATTGACCATTTTTCTTTTTCTTCTTGATGCTTATGCGCTTCGGACGTCAGTGACCAGTATAATCATCTCCACCTTGTCTGCGGCTATCTAGAAGAGTTCTATTGATGTTGTGTTGAACCATGTCCTTAGATTTGGCATTTGTAACGTTCAAGGGCAACCAGAACCTCTTCTTCCGTTGAATTTTCCTTGAATAATATACTATAACGATCCGTATTTTGTTTTATCCGAAATATTATATTATATGATATTTGTCTGAAATATGGCTAGCGTAATTTGATAATATTGAGCTTTTTTCTTTTTAAATTCATCTTTCGGAAAACTTATTGGTCGGTTATGTGATGTGTCCATGGTATGCGAAGTATTCTTCTATACATCCTCATTTCAAAAGCTTCTATTCTTTTACAAATTGTCTCATTTAGCGTTCAGGATTCAGCCTCATACAATAGAATAGACAATATTTAGCATTTTAAGAGTCTTAGTTCAGTTGTAATGGTGATATCTTGGTTCCAATAAGTTTAATCAGTTTGTTGCAAGCTGTCATGGCTTTTTCTATTGGAGTTTCAATTTCATGTGAAATATCGTTTATTATTGTTCGTAAATATGTTATGTGTTTCATTCTTTCTATGGTTTGGTTGTTGATATTTAGTTTGATATTTTCTACACTGTTTTTACTGATTTACATGCATTTTGTTTTAGCGATGTTAATATCGAGACTATAATAATTGCTGTTTTCTTTTGCTATATTGTTTATTGAGGTCTGAACTCTAAAGTCTTCTCATAATTGATAATTTTAACGAATGCCAAAAGAAGCGAAAAGATGCGGTGAGTATGGATCACAGTCTCACGGCCAACCCGACGATCACAAATAAACGCTATAATATACGAAAGAAAATATTATAATTATTAAAATATTAATATTACATACCTAATAACTATTATTATTAATGTTGTTTGTAAGTACTTAGTGTAAGCTACTTGAATTTGTCCATGTCCGTCTCTTTGACTTTTCTCCATATACAGTAATTCGATTGCGAATTTTAAGTTGCAGTCCACATTGATTTTTAGTCCAATCGATGAATTCAACATTTTCATAATTTTACAACTAAACATCAGTGTACATTTATACAAGATGATCAAGAGTCATGATCATTTTACTCATCGGGAGCTTACAGTAATTTTATTCTTCAGTTTGGATCGGTTTATTATTGCACAGATTTTTGAAAATTTAGAATTACACTGTACAGAAATTGTTATGGAGTAAATTTTCGGAACGGCTAAAGAAAACTATAGAAGAAATCGTAGTTACACATTAACCAGAGTTGTACCAATTACCACAACCTCGGTTGATGGTGGTTTAAGTTTTGCGCCTTAGAGAATTGTGTTCAGGCTGCTCATCGTACGCACGTTACGACCCGTGGCAACACTGCGTCATCAGCCGTCGAGAGAGGGAAGAGAATATAATTATTATAATTATGCATGAAAAAATAAAACGTTATCAAAACCATCCACGACGAAAATCTTTATCAATTTATTGAATATTTATCAGTGGCCTTCCTAATACGAGTGTGTATCTGTGTACGGTTTGTAAATTATCTTTATTATTGCTCTATTACAGTATTTGTTAATACTCTGATTTCAATGTACAGGTTTTGGCGTTGTTCTTTTTCGACGCATTAAACGGTTGTGCGTTGACAAATATCATTAACGATACGATAATGGTGCTACGTTAGGGCGGGTGACGCGGAAGTGTTCTAAGTATTTGACCCACTAAGTCGGCCATGCCCATAGTTTAGCTGGGAAGACAACATGAATTGTCATCAAATACTCAGCGGAGCCTGTAATGCTGGCGACCGGTGTTTCGCCGTCGGGAGCGTAGAAGGTGTACCGTTCACCGTAAGTGCCTACTTTAATTTCAATCTATAGCTGATGGTCTCTATAAAATGTCTGTTAAATTGTCTCTTTAGGCTTATGCGGCTGGATGTAATATTGTGATATTGGCGAGTACGTTCGAACGTGTACAAATCATCCCTGGTGCAATACACAACTACATTCGTATCAGTTGTTTAGATTGTTCAACAGATACTGGCAAAATAGCTGCTGCCTATGATAATCAAATATGTGTTTTCGAGCCAACCCCATTAGTTTGCAAAAATTCACCTCATGCAAGTTTATATTAAAATCAATTTTTCATTTGAAAACTATTTTCTTTATGACACACCCGCATAAAAAAAAAAGCTATATAATATAATTTCTTGGTTTATTAGATAGAATAGTTAATATTTTGATTATGTAATCAAAATATGTATTATTGTTTTATTAGTTTAGTTACTCAGATTATAAGTATAATCACCATTAGATGTATAATGTATACAATGTAAAAATTCATACTTGGTGTTTGACAATATTAATCATCTGTATTCCTGTAAACATAAACAAACTGAAATTCAATTTTTTATTAGTATACATATTTGTCTAAGTAATAGGTATAGATATAGCTTTTTATTTATTTTTACACATTATAAATATCATTTAAAATTTTTCTCTACAATTCACAAATAAATAATCTTGTTTATAAATAGTAGGTAAAATTATTTGATACAAGATTAAGCCAAATTTAATTTAATAAAAAAAAATATAATTAAAATCCTACTCTTAAACAATAACTGGACCATATATAAATTAACTGTGTAGATAATATATAATAAGTATTCATATTTTTTATTAATTTTAAATACTTGTCCCAAAGATAAAATGTTGTCTGTTATTTATTGGTTATGCAAATGTGTATTCAAAAAAAATATTATTTTTTTTATAAAAATCACTTTTTTTTGTTGTTTAATGTTTGTTTAATTATTTAGTATTTGTCTTACTTTTATAATATTACAGCAATTGGATTATAAATGGGTAGAGACGGCTAGCTGGCGAACAGCTTGTCGCATTAGCTGTTTATCATGGAATTTAGAAGGAACAAGATTATTAACAGGAGGCACTGTTTTACAATTATGGCATCAACAATTACCTGATGAGCTCTTAGATGAAAATACTGGTACGTGTATTTAATTCAATGTAAAAAAATAATACGTATTATGTTTGCTGATAAAGAAAATGTCTATTAAATTGTGATTTTTTATTTATTATTAATTTTTAAATTATATTTCTCTAAACTAGAAACAAAAATTTGATTAATTTCAATACTTTCTAATAATGTGTATTTAATTTTATATAGGAATGACAAGTGATGGAGTAACATTTGAAATTGGTGAAGAAGCGATACCAATGTCAATAACAGCACCTACTATCTGTGAAGTACGTGGATGGGAATGTGTTTGGCAAAAAGAAACAGCAACACCAGTTGTACACATTGCTTTTTCACCTGATGGAACATTATTTGCTACTGCTGGTAAAGATGACAGACTAGTCAAAATTTGGTTTGAAAATAAACAATGTAAGTATGAAAAATCCTAATTATTTTAAAATAAAATATATAAGTATTATTATATGTATTTTAACTGCAATTATTTTATAAAAATGAGAATTGCAAAATAATTTTCAAAGTATAAATTGAATTAAATTAACACTAAAATATTTTTTCAAACTTATTATTTAGTACTTTTTCCATCAAAAAGTGTGGATCAGAATTATTCAATGAGTGCCATTTCCAATTTTGGTGAACCAAATTATGGGTTTGTGTATATAGCACATCCCCGTGCTGTAACACAACTGTCTTGGAGAAAAACTAGCAAATATATGCCCAAGTAATTAGTTGTTTTTTTTTTTTTCAAAAATATGTTTAAAGAATAAATAATATTTTAATTTTTTTAGAGGGTCTGTTTCTAATATGTTAGTAACATCATGTAGAGATAATATTTGTCGACTATGGTCAGAAACTGTGTTACCGGATGATGGTTTAGTGAATATGAGCCAGTTTGATCCATTAGCTGCTCATAATCCTCGATTTCGTACACACAGGCATAAGCATAGACTTCTTCAACGTCTTAAACACATGAAGTAATTAAATTAAAACATTTTAAAATTTAATAATTAATTTTAATTCAAAATATATATGTAGAGCTTGTTTTCATATACGAAGACACGCTAAACATCATGGTGATGTTGGCACTGGTTTAGCTGGAAGTACAAGTTCAACTATACCAACATTACCATCCACATTTAGTGTTCATGATTTTCATAGTTATGGTTTTCATGGAACTGGAATTATTCCAGGACTTCATTTTCACTTAGCTGCTAGTATAAATGCTGAAACAGGTAATATTATAAATTACATTTATGAAATACAATTTTAAATAAATAATTTAAGATTTTATGTATTTTAAAATGTTAATATCAAATATAAACTTAAGTTAATATGATTAAATTATTTTCATATTATCACAGACATTCCATTAGTGCCTAGTTTATCAAGCACTGACCCTGAAAGAGAACCAAATTTTGTTCTTCATTGGCTCAATAATAAAGAAATGCATTTTTCACTCCAAGCTGAAGCAATATTAAATGTACATTAGTTTTGTATTTTTCACTTATGTGTGAGCAATATACTAAATTTGTGTTAATTTGTAAAATAATTATTTAGGAACTGACTAAAAAAGTAGTGGAAAAAGATGATATGCTTATAAATGAACAGTTTTTAATATCAGAACATCATGATGTGGATTTTAATGATCCCAGACGTAAACAAAGTAAGCTTGGTAAAGGTATGTCTCAAGATGAAAGTGTTAGTGATGAACATAGCTATCCATCAAGTCATCCAACACTTAGGTAATTAAATTGAAATTAGTATTATTTTATATGTTATATGTACTATTATTTTTGTTGTATTACAGCAATACAACATCATTGAATTCATTTACTACTGATACAAATCATATAGCCACTGATTCACTGGATAATAAAATTGAATGCCTACTTCGCGATTGGCACCATAGTCCTGACTTATTATTTGCTGTTCATCCTATTGATGGAAGTTATTTAATTTGGGTTGTCGACTGGCTAGATGAATACCATCCTGGTTCGTTTAGACAAGCTCAAGTTTCTTTTTCCACTAGAATTCCTAATGCTTTCCCTCTCGGAGATGCCACCACAATGTCTCATAATGTGTGTTTGTATCATACATCTGGATCAAGTTTACAACTAGCTTTCAGAGATGTAGTTAAGACTGCTGCTGCAGCACCAAGCAGAACACCTAGTGATGTTCATGGTGAGTTATTATTATATAAGTACCCTGTTATATAAATCATAAATTACTATTTGACTTTTTAGGTATAAATGGAGATTTTGGTGATTCAAGTCTTCCTCGAGTTTTAGAGGAAGATGGTGATTCTTTAGCTGGTGATATTGACCTACATCGTCAAAATGAAACAGTTGAGCCATTATCAAATGATAATGGGAAACATAACCGAGCTACTTCATCCACGGGTGAAGACTCAGGAACATTTAATGATATAATATCTGCACCACCATGCCCAACTCTATCTATGGTTACCAAACATACTAATGGAACCCTAAATTTATGGCAATTAACTTTTGCTGATAAATCAAAATTTTCACAAGTCTTAAGTATTGGACATGCATCTCGAGCGTCTGGTCATCGTTTCCGTGTAAATGATGTGACATGTCATCCAGTATTGCCATTATTGTTAACCACTTCCCACCATAATTTACCTGATCAAGAAACTCCCGCTTCTCCGTTATCAGCTAACCCACCCATTGCTCAACCGCCATCAGTAAATATACACATTTCTAATTTTAAATACAACCTAATTATATTATAAATGGTTTACAGGGATTTTGCAGTGAACTTATTTTATGGAGAGTTGATGCAGTTGGTCCACTTTCTAAATCTGGTGGTGTTTCTGAACTCGCTCGTATAAATTCTCTTCAAATATCAGCATTTTCAAATGTTGCCTGGATACCAACTTTACTACCCAGGTAATTAGATGATTACGATATGATAAAATACCTGTATGTATATGTATAATATTACATGTTTACTTATATTATTTATACTATTTAAATATATGTAATATTAGGCTTGAGTTTATTAATAATTATAAAATTGTGTTTAAAAAATATATACTAAGTTTATTTATAATAGTACTACTCTCGGCACATTGTCGAATTCTCCGAGTGCATGTTTTGTGGCTTCTGATGGTGAATGTTTACGTGTTTATCAAGCTGTTATTGATGCCAGAACATTATTAGCTGAAGTATCCAGTTCAGAACATCGTAGTCGAATGGCTGCTGTATGATTTTTTTTTATAATGTAATGTAGTTTTTTTTGAAAAGTAAAATATAAAACTTTTTTAATTTATAGGACTCTATGGTAAGTTTATCAACTGATGTTTCTTCTGAAAACGATTTAAAACATAATTCATTACACGATCATATCAAAATTGTTTCACAACAATCTACGGCAAGACCTGGATGTGTTATTCAACTGGATGCTATATCTGATGCAACACATGTAAATTGTTTATTTTTTAAAATACTTAATATTTTCATAAGGTAAGATAAATATGATTATTATATTATAGGATTGGCAAAATACTCAATTTTTACATGTATTTCAAGAACAATTAATGACAGGAGAAAGATCATCTGGTAGAGGTTTAGTAGATGCTATACCAGGTTTAGAAAGTGAAGAACCTGATGAAGATTTTGAGGAACCTTTTTACTTAGTTGTACTTGAACGGACTGTCCAGGGTACAACAGTACATATGTGGCGTTTAATTATAGCTTCTCAGCTTGAAAGTAATCGTAAGTTTTATATTTGTTTTTCTTCTAAATATATTTAGTATTTATTATCTGTATTATATATTTTATTTATTTAAACAGCTTTAAGTGAAAGTATGATGTATGTTCCTGATAGTCAATTAGTACAAGATGATGATGAAATGGATAACTCCGGGAAGCTGGGGGCAACTAATTTAGGTGGAGAAGAGACGACTCAACCAACTTTGTCAGCTTTTGCCCCTCATGTTTCAATATCAACCACAAAGGTACGTTAAAGTATGTATACATAAATAGTAGTGACTAGTATTGGGCTTAAGCTGATATTGTTTATTGGACGATATTGAGGATATCAGAATATTGGTTATCGTGAATCTTACAAAACTGATATTTTCGAAAAAAATTTTCTCTGAAATATTATAAAAGCATTAGCCATTTCATCCGATATACTGGTTAATTTCAAGGTTTTAGATTTCAAATATTGTATCAACTAGTGGTAGTAAATATCAGAAAAAAGTAATATCGAATTGCCACTAATAAATAGGTCCAAAAAATGTTTAATTTACAACCTTATTTAACATTCTACTATTGATTAATTAATTTTAGCCATTTATTTGATATTCAATGTTACTTTTACACTTATTAATAATTATTGAAGCCAAATTTTGAAAATAAATGTTTAATATAATCTTTTAAAATCATCTAATATAGTAAAATAGAAGTTATTATGAACACTAATACTCTCAGTGAAGTCTAATTTTTAATTATTATAAAATAATAACATTTAGACTTAACTTAACCTTAGTAGTTTTAAAAAGTATCGTATAGTATCTTGATTCAAACATAAATTTGTTGAATACATATTTTCTGTGTTACTGTACAGAATAAAATGTATATTTCTCAATATTTGTTATTAATTTATTATAGATTTGTACACAAGAATTAAATTTACCTGATGGTGTTGATGTTATTCATGCATCTCCTGCTGGAGGACATTTGAGTTCTGCTTCTATCTATCCCGCTTGTTTTGCACCATATGTATTTGTAACTGCGTGCTCAGATAGTACTTTACGGTTTTGGAAGTGTAAGATTTCAAAAACAGCAGATGAAGTTACATACCAATGGGATGAATGGGAAATGATAAGAAAAGATCGCAAGTCTATGATCGAAATATCAGGTAGAATTTATTCGCTTTCAATGCATCGCAAAAATTTATTAGTTTTTATTTTTAGGTCAACCATTAAATATAAGTGCAGCATACAGTGGGCGTATTGCTTGTGCATATAAATACGGAAAATCATTTACTCGACCATCAAAAAAAGATCCAGAATCAAGATATGTTAATTTGTGTGTAGCTATTTATGAATGTGAAAGTACTGGTGGTTCAGAATGGCTACTTGAAGACACAATACACATGAAAAATATTCATTTGCCAAAACTTCATATCGATCCTAGTGTTGATCTGACATATTTGCATGATCAAACAATACTATCATCCAAAAAACATAAGTTGCAGTCCACAGTTTTGAAAGCTTTATCGTCAGAAGACTTGGATGGAACGACTGGGAGAAGTAATGGTAGAAATGTGGAAAATGAAACTAATTTAGTTAAAAGTAGTCATGGTATGGCAAAATATTAATATTTTCATTATTTTATGTATGACATGATAAACCAATGTTTCAAGGTTTACTGGCTGTTCCTAGTTTTAGTACTCTTCAATCATTAAGAAAATCTATTATTGAAAATGGAAATACATGTCCATTGACACAGAAACACATTGTCCAATTAGATTGGGTATCTAAGGAAGATGGGTCTCATATACTTACAGTGGCTGTGGGTAGTAAGGTAAATAAATTTTGAAAATTATTATTGTAAATAAATGATATGTAAACTGATATGTTATCAAATTATTACAAAATTAAATTATTGTATTTTTTAATTTTTCTGCTTTGAAATAGATTATGTTATTTACACCAGTATCAAGTGATTTAGCTCAAGCCAATATGAAGGCAATGAAAGAATCCCAATCAGTTAACCGTCCAATTTTACGAAAAGCTTCATCGCTAGCTTCTCCCAATTTTGTAGATGAAATAAGGTAAATTCAAAATATATTAATATGTAAGTATACAAGTGTTCTAAATTTATTTCTACTGATTTTTAAAATGATCCACTATGTTTTCAATTGAAATTGAAAATCTATTTTGTGTTTTGTAGAGAGTGAACTTTCAAGGTTATCTATGTTTTATTTGATTTAAATACTTCTATTATTTTCTATAACATTCATTGGCTCTATTAAGTATAGATTGTGTTGAAGGAAGGATGAGAAAGACTATTCTAAAATTAATATAAAGTCTTCATTTTAATTTGTCATGATTTTAAATAATTTTAAATTTTAATACAAAATAAACAAAAATGTATGTATAAACTATACAATATTGGGATTATCAAATACAGTAATTGTCAAACTGTACTCTGTATGAAACACAGAATACTTAAAATAAGATCTGGTTAGAATTTCAAATCTTACAATTTTTGTTTAAAAGCAATTTATTTGTTAATAGTATAGAAACATTAGCAATATTTTTTTTAGTATGTTTGACCAAAACAAATATATCATTGGTATTTTTCATATAATTATTTTCTTTTTAATAATTAAAATTGGTTTTCTTTATTATTAAAGAGTTCCATAGATTTGTTTATTCATTGAACATCTTTGAAACAAAATTTTTCTATCGCAATGTAATCAAATATTTAAATTATAACTTTAAGATGGATGAAACTCAGGAAAATTGATCTCACTACAGCTGATGGTTTGCCTCCACTTCCAATGCAAATGTCATGGGTTCGTGATGGTATATTAGTTGTAGGTATGGACAGTGAAATGCATGTATACTCGCAATGGAAACCTAATTTGTGTAAGTTGATTGCGTTACATTTAAATAACTTTTATTATGAATCTGAAGTATGAGTTAATTTTATTTCATACTTAGATACACAAAAAACTGCTATGCCATGTTGTAAATTAGTACATCAAGAATCAGATGAGCTACAAGATACCAGAAACTTAAGAGATGAAGATCTTAGAACATTGGCTCATGTAAATTTCAATATTTCAATAACTAATAAAAGAAGATAAAAATGTTTTACATTATTATTTTTGTTTTGTGTATAGGAAACCTCACAAAGGAGATTAGCCAATGTAAGTTCCATGCCGCATTTGTCTCGTGTAAGCTCAATTAATTTAAATATGTTAACTGCCGAGACAAAAAAAAAGAAGTTGGGTATCACAAATGGTGACTCTACAAGTAATATGGACTCGTATATGCCTGACTATGGACTTTTTGAAGCTAGTCGTATAGCATGCCCAGTTCTTCCTCAATATCACCCTAAACAACTAATGGAGTTATTAAATTCTGGAAAAATACGATGGGTGAAAGCTATACTTGCACATCTTGTCAGGTATTTAATATTATTACATACTTACTATCAATTATTTTGTGTTCAAAAATAAAAACATTTAATAAATAAAATTTACTTTTAGATGTATTTCTACTACGTGTAGTGTAAGACAAGGTGCCGTTGTTTGTTCATATTCAGAAGAAGACAATTTAACTAGACAAAGAGGATGGTCTAGGTCAAGAACATTGTCTGTGAGCTATGCTGGAACTGGTAAGAATCAACTATTTTTATACAATATATTTATTTAAATATTTATTATTATTATTATTATTATTATTAGCTACAAGTCCAATGGAACCTAGAGGATCTACCACTGCAATTCCAGAAGAACTGATGTTGGATTATGCTGAAATTACTTCTATTCCTCCTTTACCTTTGTGGACACTATTAGCAGCAGATAAAGAAAATGTTAGTACAGCCCTAAAATTAGCTGAAGATGAAAAAGATTATAATGAATTATTTAATGGAAACATTTCTACGTCAGAAGATAATCTTGATGATATATTGAATGATGATTTAGAACCAGAAAGTCCTCGTAGATCGGAACGTAGGTTATCCAACTCTACGGAAAAACAACAGTGTCTGTTGTCTCATTTTGGACCAAAACAAGGTCAACTCTTATCTCGTCTATTAACTCATACACATTTGCCTGGTTTATCAAGTTTGGATCAAATGCATCTATTAGCTCTTGCTGATACTGTATCGACATGCAACACAGACTTTGCTGATAGGTTTGTGGATAAAACTCAGTTTACTAAAGATAGTTCAGTACCACATGAAGGTGAAGTTTGTTCAGGTGAGATTAACAAATATATATATTTAATTTTAATAATCATATTAACATTTATATAACAAATATTTTAGATTCATTGGATGACTGTGGTCTTAGATTCTTATTAGCAATGAAACATTACAATTATTTATTACGATGTTTGGGCGTAGCACAACGTACACAATTTCAAAAGAGAGGAATGTGTTCAGCTGATATAGCATGGGCATTCCACTCTGAAAGTGAAGAAGAACTTTTACAATTAACTCCATCTTATGTACGGGGAACTCCACGTTGGTCAGCTTTGAAAGAATTAGGAGTTGGTTGGTGGCTTAGAAATCAAACTTTATTAAGAACTTGTATTGAAAAGGTAATTTTATTTTATATAACATGTACTATAAGTATTTTACTGATTAAAATTTTTAAAAAATAGATTGCAAAAGCGGCTTATCAGGCAAATCAAGATCCTTTAGATGCTGCTATATTTTATCTTGCAATGAAAAAGAAATCATTAGTTTGGGGATTGTTTAGATCTAAAAGAGATGAACGTATGACTCAATTTTTTTCCAATAATTTCACTGAAGATCGTTGGCGTAAAGCAGCATTAAAAAATGCATTTGCTTTACTTGGAAAACAGCGATTTGAACATGCTGCTGCATTTTTCCTTCTAGCTGGCGCCCTTAGAGATGCAATTGAAGTAAAAATGTATACCGTAATTTATTAACATGTCAACTGTGCACTTCTTTTTCCAATATTTTATCTCTAGTAATTATTTTAAGAGTAAAATATACACAAAATAAATATATAATATGATAAACTTTAATATTCATTATAATTTTGTACTGTGCACAGTTAGTCTGTTAATAATAATTAATAATATTATGTATACATTCTAAATAAATCTGTTATTTAGGTTTGCTTGAATAAACTAGATGACTTACAGTTAGCTATGGTTATAGCACGATTATATGAGGGGGAAATTGATTCTACTCCATCCAGTCTTAAACGACTTTTATATGAAGTATTCAAAATTTTTAATTTAAATATTTTTAAACTTCCAAGTTTATTTACTTGGTTTAGGAAATTCTTGGTTGTGATCTAAATGGTGAAAATCAAAAATTGTCTATGGCCAATCCAGATCCCTTCTTACGTTCTATGGCTCTTTGGATACTAAAGGATTTTACTGGAAGTTTGAATACTTTAGTTCAAACCAATGTTGGTACAATGCATCCGCTATATAATGATGAGGAAAAACAAGAAACATCAGCTGGTATGTTTAACACGTTGAGTGCCTCCGTAGTATGTGATGCGCATTGCCCGTGAATTCATGAGAAATTTGTTCCATGATTACATTGGCTAGAGTTTTGCTAAAAATAGATGAAAATTCAAACCAAATATACCGTTTGAAAGAGGTAGTTCACTGTATAACCAAGTTTAAAAATGAAAGCATTTTCTTGATACCCGAATAAATTATTAAGCCATAAACATACTTATAAAATTTGTTGACATGGTTATAGGAGCAATGTTACAGTTATCGACTGTGGTACTCAACATATTAAAAAATAAACATTATTTTTGTAAATATTTGACTTATAATTTTTTAATTTATATCTTTGTTTTTATTATATGTAGCAAATCCAAATGTTTTTAATTTTTATGTGTATCTTCGAACACATCCCTTATTGATAAGACATTATTTGGCATCCACCTACCAAGATAAAAAAAACCATACTGTAGTATTGGCTGGATTTAGCTATGGGTCTGACGCTAGATGTAGAGAAACTTCGGATCGACAAGTAATCACAATTATAATTCATATTTAAACTTCAGTAATTATATCAAAAAAAAAAATATATATATTTTTTTTAGTTAATGTTGGAAGATTCTATTACTCCATTGGAAAGACAACTATACTTTAAAACTGCACATGCTCATTTTAAAGCTGGATGCCCTGCGCTTGCTCTTGAAGTTTTATCAAAATTACCTAGTAAAATAATGGATCCTTCTACAGAACAATCAAACAGTAAGTACATTTTTGTAAAATCATTAATTTTAACTGCAAGTATTATTTTTTAATGGGAAACAATTAGTTTAGTTTATGTTTATTAACATATTTATCAAACAAGTGTTAAAATGATGTAATCAACTTTTGATAATCAAGGACTTGTGCATGCAATGATTATACTCATTATTCTTACTAAAAGTTGTTTATTATACTACAGTATAATTAATATTAGTGTAAACAAATTTTCAAGGATCATTTAAATCTATTCTAAATAATTTGAACTCTGTTAATATATTAAAAGATACCTATAAACAGAATGTGTAAAATACATAATTTTATGTACTTAAAGTTTATTAGAGAATTTCAGTGGTTAAAAAAAAATCATATAAATTATGTTTAATATATTATTAGGAGAGTGGATGGTGCATGATGTTTGCAGATGATATAGGTTGAATAGATTAACTCTAGAAGTTAGCAATAGGCTTAAAGAATGGAGAGTAGCACTTGAAAGAAAGGGGTTAGGGATAAGTAGAAGTAAACTAGTCTATATAGAGTGTGAGTTTGAAGGAGCAAGACAAAATAGCTAGCAAGGTAGTTTAATAGGCAAGATTGAGAATTTTAAGTATTTATGATTTTTGTACGGAATAATGATGGTTTTAATGAGGATGTTAAACACAGAATTAAGTGTGATAAGTGGAGATCAGTGACAAGTGGTGTTTTATGTATAATGAGTATTCTAATGAAACTTAAAAGTGAGTTCTACAAAATTATGGTGAGACGGGCCAGGTATGGAGTATTGGGAAAAAATATAGAACAGAAAATTAGTGTAGAAGAGATGAGAATGTTAAATTAGATGAATGGAAGAGGCGTTGGACACTTTTCCCGAAGATAACAAAATCTGAATCAAGTACACCAACATAGAAAACTAAATTATCAGCAAATTATTATTACTTTTCTGTATTATCTACCCTATATGGTTTTGCACAACAAATCTAGCATTATTTTCTATTAAAATTTCAAATATTTAATGTGAGCAAGTGACTCCCTTAGGTCTCTAGGTGCCGTATTAATATTAACAGGATAAAGTAAAAATACATAATGTATTTCATGTTTGTGCATTTAATAATTGTAGATTCTCATTTGAAAATGTTTGATTTAGTTAAGGTTGGCGTAATTTGTCACTATCTAATTATTTTAATATTTTCTTCTATGGTTTCGGGAAAAGTAACCCTATTCGGGCAGTAAGTATTTTAATGAAAACAAACATTGGAGGAAAGGGCGAGATAAAAACCTAAAAAATGGTGGTTGGGTGTGATTGAGAATGATACAGAAACATACAGGAAATGTATGTTAGGTGGAGATCGAAGGAAGTAAAATTTTAGGACGAGGTTGGCCAACCCCAAATATAGTTTAGTTGAATATGACGGAGAAGATGTTAAATACTTTATAGTATACTTCAGTATATAAATTAGCTATCTGTGCAATAATAAAGTTTTTTCTCGTCGATAAAATAATAAACATAATTTTTTCATCTGGATCACAATAGTTGCACAATCTCTTTATCACAGTTATCCCACGCACGTACCACGTTGACCCATTTTGAGCATTTTAAAATACAAAATAATTTTAAAAAGTATTTAAAATAATATATTTCATTGAATTACTGCCCTAAGCCTGCTTATAAGTATTTAATATGCGAGTATTAATTACTTATTCCTATTTATATAATAGTCAAATACTATCTTTAATTCATCCCATATTTATTCAAATGATACAAATTCTGAGAACACATTCAAATTTTTCAAGTCATTTTTTTTAAATTTAATTTTTGCTTTTATTTAAATGTTAAACAATATTTTTCAATGTTTTTAAGTATGAGATTAATAATACAATTTAAAACAACCACCACTGGCCTATTCTTCAATTGGTAGACCATGTATCAAATTTGAATCTCTTTTCAGTACAATAATAAAGTATAAAATTGTTTAAAAAAAGAAATTATTTTATTAATAAATTGTGCAATTTCAAATGAGTCTATAGCTATATTTTTAAACATAAACTATTTCATTTAAAATGCATAACTGGTAACTATTGATTAAATCAAAATTACAAATCAGACATCCATTGAATCTTGAGTAGACCCATTGTTTTAGAGTGAGTCATAAATATATATATTTAAATATAGCAGCCATTAAAGTGATATCACAATTTTCTTCAGAGCTTAATTATTTTTATAGTCATTATTAAGGTAATTTTTATACAGAGTTAGTGGAGTACTTATCTAGTTTGGCATACAATATTGAAAAAAAAATAAATTATTATCATTTATCAGATATTATAAGTATTGCTTGCCAATAAATGTACTATAATTACAAATTTTATTAGATACTAATATATTTCATAATTTATTCTTATTAATTTCTGACTAAAAATAAAACACTTCATTGATAAAAAAATAGTGACACTAAAGTAAGTAATTTAATGCATTACTTTGTACTATATTTGAAATCATAGGGCATAATTTTGTGTCACTACATTAAACAGCTTATATGATTTTATGACTTGAAGTGTTCATATATATTAAGTGTTTACTATTGAAGTATAATAAAACATTGTATTTTTACTTTTTCTTTTGTTCTACTTAATTATAAAATCATGTATCAAGTACAAGTCCACTATCATTAATCTTGATAAAACTTATAAAATGACAGTTTATTTTTTTGTAGTTTAATGAAAACAATTAAGTTCAAATTCACAGAAAGTATAATTTCAAAATACATTAAATAATAATATCCAAAAAGTATTCAATATTTTCTTTTTATTAAACAACTAAAATTATTGTAATTAATAAAATTAATAAATACTTAAATTTTAAATATGATAGAAAAAATTTGAATATTTATACATATAACAATTATTTTAATCAAAATTTAAATTTTTAAAAGAATCTATGTCTTCTTTATTATGATCTCCAACTGTTGTATCAACTTCATTTTTAACAGTGCCATTTCTAAATTTTTCTTCATCCAAAAAAAACTCACGATTATCCAATAGTTTTTTTTTTAATTTTTCTATTAAATATAAACAAATAAGTTAAAAATATTTAATTGAGAAAACATTTGACAACATTTCTATTTACCATTAGTTTCACTCATATTTGCTGCCAGACCACCATAATCCTGTGGCACAATTGTTTGTGGTAATGTTTTTATAAATTCATTAGTCTTTGAAACAGACTTTATTACAACCTATAATGAAAAAAAAGAAAAAAGTAATTTATTATAAATTAGCATTAAAGATAATTTAATATTTTACTTTATTTATTAATGAAGAACTCATAAATGGTTTCATTGTTGCATATACTCTTTCAGTTCCCGAAGTGACGTTTAGAACATAAATTTTGTCAATGACAAATGATGCAGCTTCCTAAATATTTTTACATCAATAAGTTATTAAATATTTGAAAAATAAATAAATAATAGGTAAATTTAACCTGGACATATGTCATTAAATGTCTTGCGTTAGATAGAGAGTATCGTAATGCATGATTTAAGCCGAAATGATTCGAATCTAATACCATTCTATACCCTGGCTTGGTACCATTTTCTATTTGGTCCAGTTCAATAGCCATGAAAGCTAATTTTGTCGCTACAGTTGGATAATATTGAGAAGCATCTACAATTTTCAACTGTGACCATATATAATTATAATGAGTATCCTCATCGGGAATTATATTTATATTACTGAAAAAAATGAATGTTGATTACTGTTTTTAAAATAATTATGATATATTGTATATTACAAATATATTTATTGCTTTCTTACACTACATCCAATTGTTTTTGATTAAAAGGATGTATTGGATCTCTTGCTGAAAAATAGGGTGCACATTTCTTTGCTCGTAAAACATAACACTGGCGTATTACTTTTTTTGCGTACTCTTTATCATAGTTACAAGCGTGCAAAAACATAATTACTTGAAGATCTATTAAGCATAATTTAATAATAATTTTTTAGAAGTTATTAAAAATGTTGATAATTACCTATTAATTAGTGTGTGTATATTGTAAAATAATAAAATACTGTTTAAATTATGTTTTCTAGTCCATAAATTATTTAATTAGTTTACAGAAAGTAGGTTTATACACAATCTTGCAAACTCTAATAAATTATTTTTATTTTCTCTAAATTATTAAACAGTATTTTCGAAAGATAAAATGTAAATTACATAAATGAACATATTATAATTATATGTGTCATAGATAAATGTTTTTATAATCATAAAAAGATTTCATATAAGTATAATTTAAAATATTTAGTAAACTAAAATAATAGTATGCATTAAAATGTTAAATTGGTTTTGACACAATACATGGCTGATACAAATAAAAAATATGTTTTTATACAAGAACAAAATATAGTCCAATTAAAAATCAATAAGTATTAATTATCAACTATATAATGTTATAATATTATAGTGCTGTAGCCAGAGGGATACTATGGGGGTTTTAGCACTCTTTAAAAAAATGCTGGATACATTTTTTTTGAGATATCATCAGTTAAAATATAATGTTATACTACTAGTGTGATAGAAGTTGAATCAATTAAGTAGAAATTAATCATTGTTTTGGCAAATATTATGCGACAAATTACAAACCCTCCCACCCCTATTAATAACATTGTCCTCAATACTGTTACACAATTATGTAAAGTAAACAAATTATCTGTTTCCACTTCAACTTTATTAATAACAAATTCATAGTGACCTTAACCCATTAGGCAAAAATTGATTTTCTGTTTGCATTTTTAATGATTTTTTAACTTGACAAAATGTTTTATTTTAAACAAGTACCTAAGCATTAAACAACAATATTTTTTATAATTTGATTTCACTCACCGATTAATTTCCCATGTAAATTTATATTTTCATCACTCCATTTTAGAAGCTCTTGGACATCTGCGGCAGATAGTTTTGGATTTTTTTCATACTCTTGTTGAGCCGTAATTTTATAATATTTCTCTAGTGTTTCCATGATGGTTTAAATTTTTTGTATTAATAAAAACAAATTATTTTAAAATTTAAAAATAATATAATGCAGAGAAGTTAAATGTGTATTACATTTTTCGAATTATATCGCATATTATTTAATGTATTTAGAGTGTCGAATGCGACTGCTAACTGCACGGCCTTGTTGTAGTGACTACCTCTGGAAGTCAACTACTCGGTTCTACGTGTCTTCCATAGCTACTGTGTTGTCCTTGAATAAAACTGGTATTGCGTACCTCGTGCGGTTTAATGTTCGTACGCGATTCAGTAATTACAAATTGTAAACAATTTATATACCTAAACCTACCTAACTACCTAAGATAATCGCGTTACATTAAACATAAGTACCTAATGTATTAATTAATATAGGAATCCATATTTTTCCGATCATTTTTCATAAAATGTTATTTTACTAATTTTAAGTGACAAATTAATTGATAACAGTTTTCTATTTTTTAAACGTAATGTTATTATTAATAACTTGAATTATTTAAAAATTAATAATACGTACAATGCCGCCAGTACGTTTATAATTATGAATACACTATTATAGAATATAATTGCGTATCTATTTCCGTACTTATTTCTACAAATATTTTTTACGTTGTTTTACTATAAAATAATTACATTTTAATGTTGGTATTTTGGTAGGTACTAATATAAATTATCTCTTGAGTTTCCGACTGCAAAATGATCGTTACGAGTTAATCTTGCTTCCGGATAGAATTATTTGGTTTATTATTCCGCTATCCACATTAAATTTTTGTTATGAACGCACTTTAATTATTATTAAAATTTATGTCGAGTCCTAAATAAAACGCCAACCCTATGATATCACATTGGAATAAAAAAAGTATATATTTTTAATACCTAGTGAATATAATACGCGTTACTAGGAATAATATTTTTAATTTAGGAATCATTAATATGTCGGTTTAATGCCTATTTATTTTTATAAACGTTAGTTTGGAATTCGGATATCAAAAAAAATGATTAAGTAGTTAATAAATAATAAATACTATTATGTTATTATTGTTGATAAAATAAATAATTGTAATTGTTTGACCTTGACAATGACTAGTTAGTATTAATGCGTTTTTAATTAATTTAAATTCGTATTGTTATTATTATTTTAATTTTTTTTTTTATGAGAACTATAAGTTGTACAGAAGTTTAATAGTAGACTATATTATTTATATTTGAAAAATTATTTTAAAAGTAAAATTCTCGTTTTAGTATTAATATTGTTTTATTTTACAAAGTAAGTAGGTTAATCTATTTATTTAGTAGTTATCGATTTCTGAACTTTTGACATAGCGAATTCTGAACGGAGCAAAAATTATGTTTTTTTTTTCTGTGAACAACTTTTCTACCAGCAATTTTACTCCGATTTTCAAATATAGCACTTTTTCTGAATGGAAATTTGACTGGGTGGTACTTTAGGGTTTAGTTTGGGCACCCCTGGTCTAAATTGTTGTGCTGTTTGTGTTGGATAAACCAAGATAAGATCCCAGAGATAAGAAGGGGGAAACTCTTTCCGTTTCGAATCCTAAATCCTAGATACCTATTTTTTTCCAGATAAATTCCCAACAATTTTACTATAAAATTGAATGTATATCCGTTTACAACGATTAATCATTGATAACGAAAAATGATTCCGAGTGGATTTCGGTTATTCGTGTTTCAAAAGGCCATAATTACGATTTTCGTCAAAATTTTCTAATAAAATTCTTATATTAAAAAAAAAAATTTACATTAAATTCAACTTTATCTTGTTGACCACTAAGTAAAGCATAATGAACTTCCTGTTGAATTTTTGTTTTGTCTAACAATTTTATCCATAGAGTACCCATCAGATAAAAAAACGTAAAAAAACTCAAATTAAAACGTCTATAAATAGCCTGAAAATGTTTTGACAATTTTACCAAGTTTATAAATGAGAAATACAAGTTTTCTGTATAAATTTTAAGTCTCTAGTAGTATTTTTAATGGAAATAAAATTAAAAAAAAAACAAATAGCATTATTTTCGTAAATTTCCCCGTTCTTTTTTTTCGGTTTTGTTGAATTATTTAAAAACTATACGGGAAATTAAAAAACAACTTTCTCACTCGCCAACTGGATTAATAATTGAACAAAAAAAGTCTCTTGTTGCTTTTTTATTGGAGCATTATTTTGATTATTTTTTTTTTCAATTTTTTGATTGACATTAACATTTCTAGTGGAAAACATAATTTACAAAAATGTAGAATCATGAAATCGTTATACGCCGCGTCGTAAATATATGTTCGTTTTTTCCTACGTTTTGTACCGGTTATTCTCAATTATTATGTAAATCGCTTGGAAAATCAAAAATATCATCTCGCTGAAGTACTAAATAGATAAAGTTTCCTTTTTAAAAAAAGGTGATACACTTGATACACCGATGCAAGATTTCTGGTAGAAATTGTGTAAAAAGTATAACAACAAAAATAATAATCACCATTGTAAAACCAATACATTCCTCGTACGCTCCGAATCTAAAATAGATAGACACAATTTTATTACGTGAATTGAAAAAACTACTTTCTAATTTTAATTTAATGTAATCATACTATACAAGGTGATTTTTTTTATCTTGAACCTGCATTATCTTGGAGTTTTTTTTAAATTGATTTGATTTCTGTTTTTTATAATCATTATGGGATCGTTTAAACTTTATTTTAAAACCATTTTGAATTTTGTAAATTAATAAATTGCCTATCTATTTAAAATTAGAACGATTAATCATTGCGAACAAAAAGCGATTCTAAGTGGAGTTCGGTTATATATTTTTTTAATTATCGTAATAATTACGATTTAAAAATAATACATTTCTTAAATTTTCCCATATTTATTATGAAAATCAAAAAATGACACTTGAAAATGGGAGCAAAATTTCTGGTAGAAAAATTTTTTACAAATAAAGAAAAAAAAAATTATTGTAAATAACAGTAATTAACAAAAGAAAAATAACTATATTATATTATACAATGTTTTATTGTAATTCCTCAAAAGCCTTTATATACATATATAAAAAAAAAAAAAATAATATTTATACTATTGTTATTCAAAACTTTTTAATTTAATCAAACTTTTGCATCTTTTTAATTTAGGTTTGGTTAGTACACCAACACGAAGTCGTGATATTCGTATTGATACGGGTATCTTAATGCAATATGGTGTAGAGCAAAAACTAGCAGAGACTATTAATTTAGATGTAGTCATTAAAAATGCTGTGACTGCTAATGAAATAGATTGGTCCACACCTGTAATGAAATCTAATGATGATCTAGTACTTGAATGGAGTGATAAGGAAGATGATGTCGATGAAGAAGAGGACGTAACAGTAGAAGAACCTCAAAAAATCATTAAACAAGAATCTGTAGAAAGTGAAAAATCAAAGTCTGATTCAAAAGCATGCAATCTTGATGTTATGGCACAACAACTGAAATTTGTTGCTTGTCTAAAAATATTAATGGAAGAACTATCTACATTGGCCACTGGTTATGAGGTAGATGGTGGAGAGTTGAGGTATCATCTTTACTTGTGGCTCGAGAGAGAAGTTGATGCTTTAAGACATTTATGTAATTATAGTTCCAAAGACTCAATGGTTGTTCAATGTAAGTATGTTTTACTATTTGCTTTGATTTAAAATATGAGTAAGTAATAGGTATAGATAAAAATGTTGGAAAAATTAAATAGTTCTTTTTGAAATATAATCAAAGTGAATAAGTGTTTAATAATCATAATGATTTATATTTATATCAATGTATATTTTTATTTCCAAATTTATTTTTTGCCAAGAAAATTAAAATAATCCATGGTTTTAAAATTAATTTAGACGAAGGAGGCCTTGAATCATCAGTTTTGGATAACCGTGAGTTTTCATCAACTCCTACATTAAAAAATTCTGCTGAAAAACCAACTTTACATGAAATATTGCTTGCTGAAAAAATTGACTTCGAAGCCAAAGTTCAGAGAGCGGCTAGACGAAAAAAATGGCTTAAGGGTATGTAATCTTTTTATTACATCAAATATTTGTTATGAACTTACAACACAAAATATGTGCTTGTGTTGCAATATAAAGTATATTAATTCTAGTTGTTACTTCTTGATTAAGCATTCAAATTGTATGTATTTTATACTCCTTTTTTTTACCCAGAAAACGAAACACTTTTAAGAACATTACTCAGCTATTGTAGTTTGCATGGTGCTGGAGGTGGTGGGTTGGCATCAGTTCGAATGGAATTGGTACTATTGTTACAAGAATTACAACAAGAAAAAACCCAACAACAGTTACTCTCACCATTGCCATTCCCTACTACTTTACCATTACTATCTGCAAGTGTTGCTTGTAACAAGACTGTGATTGCAGATCCTGTTCGATATCTTCAAGTAAATCACTTGCCATAGTTCTTTTTAATATTTGATAATTAAAAAAATATTTGGTTTTATTTATAGGCTCAAGCACATGACATGTTGCAAACAGTTATTGATATCCGAAGTCCGCCATTGTTGACACGGATGGATCTTAGTTATTTATTTGTTTTGAGAGATTTGTCTGTAGCATTATCGGCTTGTTTTTATCAATCACTTTGTGATAGTGATACAATTGCTGAAAGTTATCAATCAGGTGCAGATAATCCGACTTATTGTAGCCACCTCATTGCTGCCAAAAATAGAAAACGTCGTTACAGTATAGATGAACCAATCAAAGTGACAACTCCACCTTCCAAATGGCCTGGAGTTTCAAGTCTACGTGCATTATTAGCACACGAGAAGGATGAGGATGCACCTAAATTAAATACACTATTGTGTGAAGCATTTGTCGCTACTTATATGGGTCTATTAGTATATGCATTTGCCACATGTGATTGTCACATATTATACCGATTAGTAGGACAGAAATTTACTGAAAATACATGGAGCGCGCTTTTTGGTGGTGGTGTTAAAAAACTATTGAAGGTTGCACCTACAGCACCTAAAAGTCGAGTAAGTAAAATGTACAATTATTAATTAAACTAACAATTTGATTTTAAATTATAATTACTATACGTCTACATATTCTAAAGCCCAATAGTTTAGAACGAGAAAATAGTTCGAGCAGTGATATAGGCGTATGGACAGCGGTTACAAGTTTAACTAAACAAAAAGTACGGTTAAATATGAAACTTCTTGGTCAATTTGTCGGTTCTCCTGGTACACCTAGTATAAAAGAAGATAAACCTACATATAGAGAGCATTTTGTTCCTCCCGAAATGTCTATGATATCATATTTTTTAAACAAAGTAAGAAAATAAAATTTTTTTTTGTTGAAATCATTTTATTATAATATGTGTTTTAGCCAAATTTGGCAACAGAAGTTCAAGATGTAGATTATGATTCTGCTGATAGTGCTGTATCTGACCTATCTGAAGATGAAGATGAAGATTGTGATGTCTTTGATAATACACAAGATAACAAAAGCAAAACTACTAAAAGTGAAAATACAGAACATTCAAATCCTTATAGCTATGCTTGGATGGTCATGAGATTAGCCATAATGCAATTGGTCCAAGAACAGTTACATGGTTTTCTTACAATTGCAGCCATTGATCTCCAAGGTAATATATATTATATAATATCAAACATTATTTATTTGTATTTATTACAAATAGTTAAACAATTAAATTTTATTGATATTGTACAAATTATTCTTAGAAAATAGGTACTTAAATGTATAATTTTGTGTTCAGAACTACCAGTTAGCAGTCCATTAATTCACGGAATACTCCGAGTAGTTAGCCAATGGCAAGAAATATTAAAAGAAGAATTAGAATCTAAAGGGCCTCCTCCTGTTGATTACATACCTGGCTGTTTTGTGGAACAGGCTACTACAGGTCCACCGATTAATAAATACAGAACACTCTTAGACAAATCAAATACTCCTTTCCAGTAAGTTTATCAAGTAAATTAAATTATCTATTCTAATAATATTATATTATTGTTAGCCCGCGTCACAGTTCTGCTGCTCCAGCTCGACGTCTATGGAACTTTTTAGTTCGCCAAGAATTTGTTCAAGATCTTTTTATTCGTAGTATATTTAGCCGCCAGCCAAGAGCAGCAGGTAGTTCTACATTACCGACTATGAGTCAAGAAGTCAAATCGTGCTCTGGAAGTGAAACACCTAATCTCCATTTACCTGATCCAGTGAGAATTATTCATAAAGAACAGGACTCAATATCTGCTTTTTGTCTAAACTTGGTATACATTTATATTATTTTATTTTACAACTCAAAATTCATTTTATTAACTAATTTGAGTTTATTAATTTTATTTCAGGCAAATAGTAGTCTTCTTGCACTGGCAACCCCTCGTGAGATACAAGAGATGGACATTTCATTATTATTAGAATCGCCTTCTTGGTTAGAGGATGAATGTGAATTTGATCTAGTTAATCTTTCTCGGTTAGTAATAAACATTTTTTATTTATTATTTATTAGTATATCTGCCATTGTTGATATGTGTACATATACCTACTGCCATTTATATTAACAGAGACCATGAACATCAACCCTCTAGTTTCTTGGTAATTCAAACGTCTGTTGATCGTCCTCTTCAAACATCTCCTGGCACTGTTATTGTTAATCCTTTGCCAACAAGTCCTAGTGTGACTGGATTAGCAGGCCAGACTGGTCGAGGTGCATCTGTGGTAAGTTATTAATGTGCAATAGCTCTTGAAATTGTACTTTTAACCACATGGAAAAATCCATTGATTATTATTGGGGCTAAAGAGTAAAATAAAATTGTAGTAATTGTGAACTCAAAAGCGTTATGTGCTGTACGTGAATGTTTTGTTTTCTATGTGATAAGGTACCACAAAAGAGCACACAAGGTTACAGCGACGGAGGAACGAGAGCAATAAAAAGCTCAAAAAATATTATGTCGGTAAGAGGCTATTAATTGTTGCGAGCGCGTGGGCTTACACTACCATCTGCCGTGTTTTTCTTCTGTGTATAATATATTTGATCTATTATCTATTTAAAAATAATAATTACATTTTTTCTATATATAAATATCTTCAGGTGCCAGGATAAATAGCTTTGTATACTTTAAGCTTCCCAATTCTTAAGAGCTATCAGAATTTTGGATAAACGCTTACAAATTTTAAAACACTTACCATTTTATATTTATATTTTTCTCTCCTCCATTATATTCTAATCAAGTTAATAATATATACATCATTGATCTTAATCACATACATATATAATTATAATAAATCTTTTATACATATTTTAATCTTTAAAACAGTTACTTAAACATTGTACATAAATATATTATAAAATTAATGATATATGTAGAGGTATGCCTGTTTTGTTTTTTGTTTGGTTTTGTTTTGTTTTTTTTTTTTTCAAGGCTTATCTCTAAAAACACTGTTAATTTTATAATTACATAAATGCTTTAACAATACATCAATTGTTTTTAAAATATTGTCATTATTATTGTGTGTCACATTGCTATCAGATGAAGGGACTGAATTTCCCTGGTTGTCACGACCCACGTTTCTGTCAGTTTGTCTGTGACCGCAGTCGACTCCTGCTCAGACCGGTGCGTTAAATTTGATGAAATACATTTTGTTAAGTCGATTTAAAAATTGAGTGTTTCTCCTTTGTTATGATTTATATATGTTCGCATTTTAGAGCTTCGGCATAATTAAAAAGCAACCATAAAAAAGTTGCTCTGTTTTGGTTTTTTTTTTTTTTCTTTATTTTTCTTAATTTAATTTCTGTTTTATGTAGAATAGACAAGATTTTTGTGTGACGCTTGATGATGCTTGAAATGTTACAACCAACAAAGTATATATATTCCTAGAAGTGTTTAGCTAATATTTGTTTGTCATACATTAAATAAAACTTCATAAACATTGTACATACACATTTTGAAAATCATTAACCATAAAACTTGAATGTATTATTTAATATTAATCAATATTTGTATATTTTTTTAACATAATCTTTTGTTTTGGTTTTTTCTTATTTTTTATTTTTTTTAGGTGATGAAACATCGTGTGGATAACATTCGGAGAATATGTCCACACCCTCTGTTACCTGTGTGTTAGTTAATTATTATTACACAACTTCTGAACAAAAAGAAACCACCAAAATAACATTGAAAATATAATTATCATTTGTATTTTATTCAGATTTAACGGGTTCACAAGATGGATCAGTACATATTTGGGAATGGGGTCATCCTCAAACAGTAGCAGAACCTCGAGCAGCTGGTACATTTGCAAAAGTTACGAGAGTACGATTTTCTCAACATGGTAATAAATTTGGAGTGGCTGATGGTGATGGAAATTTATCTCTATTTAATGTCGGTCTCACATCATCTAACTACAGACCATTTTATGTAAGTATTTACTTCTAGAATTATTGTGTATACTTTTAATGTACCTATTTGTATATTTTTGTTTTAAAAGACATTCCAATGCCATAATAAAGTTACCAGTGACTTTGTATTTCTTGGCTCTTGCAGTCTGATTGCTACAACTGGCTATTCGTCAGAAAATAGAAATGTCGCATTATGGGATACACTGTTACCACATAAGAAATCACTAGTCACAGGTAGTCAACATATAATAATTTTAGTAATTCCTAGCATTAAATATTGATTTTTTTCTTTTTTCTTTAAGCATTTATGTGTCACGAGCAAGGATCAACATGCATAGGATTTGCTCCACAGCATCAAGTAATAGTTACTGGCGGACGAAAAGGTGATATATGCATATTTGATGTGCGCGGAGGAAGTGGTTCAATAAAACATCGTTACTTGGGCCACGATTCATGTCTTAAATGCATGACCATTGATCCTCATGAACAGTTTTATTGCACAGGAGCAGCAGATGGAGATATCAAAGTAAGCTACACCAGAATTATACTTACCAATTGTAAGTGTTATAGTACCAATTGAACAATTGTTTAAAATAAAATGCTTTTCAGATTTGGAATTTGTCTACACATCAATTAATGTACACATTTCTTGCCGAACATGCTCGATCTAGCTTCTTCAAGCATATTGGTCAAGGTGTAACACAGTTACAAGTAGATTCATCTGCAAGACTATTTTCATGTGGAGCAGATGGTTCGATGAAAGTTAGACAATTGCCAGATAGGTATCACTGAGAATTAATGTAGTAAGTCTTGTTTCTCCCCCCCCCTCCTTGGAGATTTAAAAGTAGTTGATTTGCTACTTCAATAAATAGCACTAGTCAAATAATACAATTCAGTAGGGCTTATAATAATCAGTTTTTATTTTTGTTTTTGTTAATTATGTGTTTATAAACTCAAATATTATTGAAAATTATTTTAATTCTTATTTTTATTAGTAAAATATTAGGAACCATTAAGACACCGTTATATGGCATATAATATTTAGAAAAATTGTAAGTAAAAAACCTTACAAATTTGCAATAATCCTAATTTTATTATTGATTCATATTAAGTAATCATATTAATACATGAGTATTAGCAATAATAAAACATTAAACTTTTTAAATTTATCTATATTACTTCATTATTATTATTAGTATCAAGGTGATAATATAAAACTATTATAACTTTAACAAAGTGTTAGCTAATTTAATCCAGCATTATAAAATTTGTCATAAATTAATACTTTAATCTATATCCACTTCTTAAAAAAAAAAAAAATACATTAAAAATATCATTAACTAATTTATACTATTATGTGAGTTATTTATATTATATTTTAATAAAGGATTTAGTATTTCAGCGACATTGCAACATATTATATAAACGTTTATGCATATTTATCATCTATAAATTAGATTTATATATTGTTTTAATAGGAACATAATTTAATATAATAATATTACTCTGAATAAATCAAATATATAAATTGTAAAAAAGTCATAATTATTGATAATTTTAGATATATTATAATTATCTATAGTATAATTAATAATGTGCCTAGTGCAGGTTTATTATTATGTTTGTATGGGTCTTCTGTGATTTTTTTTATAATTTAAAATTAGTTAGTTTTATTTAAATTGTAGTATTTTATGTGGATTCAAATGTTTTATTATAGTTCAAGACTTTTGACAATAAAAAAAAGCAAATACACATATTATGTTAAAAAAATTGTTTTTTCTTTTTTTTTGGTTAAACTATTGAATGAAAGTTTTGTGTATAATTTATAATACATGTAAACATTATTTTAATTCTAAATTATCTGTTTGCTTCTCATTATAACAAATAATCTTTTTATTTTATCCCCTTTGGCAATTATGTTATTTTATATAATTTAAAACATATTGTTACTATATTATAAGTTATTATATTACTAGGTATTATTATTATAACTTTAAAATAAAACATAATTATACCATGTTGTTGACTTAATTTGAAATTGTTTTTATTATTTTTCGTGATTGTATATGACCAATAATTTTTTGTCAGTTTATAGGGCCAAATATTTGTTCTTTTTAAAAATCAAATTAAAAAAAAAAATCTTATACTGCTAGTGGGTGTGCTATTGTTGTAAGTGGGGAGTAGAAAAATGTAAAATTCATAGTTATTGAATTTATACCTGTACTCAATGATAAACCTTTGCTATCGAAATAAATTTAAAAAAAAGTCTAGTTAAAAATGTTGAGATTTTTACACTTTTTTTAAAAAAAAATTAAACATCATTTAAATACTATATTAAATTTTATTTACTAAGATCTTTTTTTTTTTTTTTTTTAGTTTTAACCACCAAGCTTAGATTACAATTAAACACTTAATTAACAATTTCTTTTTAGTGAATGATAATATGTGTTAAAAAATAAGTAGTTAAATAAATATGAATACATTAATGGTGAAATAGTAAAATATAAAATCTTATGTTAAAGTGCACTAATAAAAATATAAATATAAATTAATACTTAAATGTAAGAAAAAAAAAACGAGTAATAATTTCTATATGTTAATAAAAAAATTCATTTTTTTTTATCAAATTGGTTTTAATAGTGAATGATTTTGAATAAATTAAACCACATAAGAAAACTGATTTAAAAATAATATTAAATTTAATTATGTAGATGAAGATTAATTGTGGGCACGGGTTATTTGATAGTTGATTGAGTGTTGGTGCATTGACTATTCAAATGCTAAAATGTAAATTATAATTATTTGTCAAAAGTAAATTATTGTATATTTATTCATAATTTTTACCTTTAAAAGTTGGTGTATGTACACAACCATGTCTGAATTTTCAGAGTATTCAGAATGAGCTAAACACTCCAACACTTTGTCACTGTGTGCTTTTACTACAGTATACAATACAGTCTTATACGTTTTTAAAGGATTGTTACAAGGTTGATTTTTCCAATATTTAAAATCAAATTCCTAAAAACATAAATTCATATTAAACATTAAAAAAATTAATTTTATGTATATATAGATTTTGTTACTTTCAAGAATTTGTATATCCTTGTAAGAACAATATCCAAATGTATTTCATTAGTATCCCACTTATGAAAATCTTTTATTATTTTCCATATGCATTTCATTACCAATTCTTTATAATGTGTTGTATTGTTATGCGGATACTTAACTGTACTATAGAGCAAACTCAAAAGAGCGCTGTGGATAAATTATAAGTTTTAGTATTTTGTTTTATAAGAGAGAAAAATGCTTACCATATGAGTTGAGTAGGAGGAGTAGGAGGATCTAAAATATTCATAAGTACATTGTTTACACATCGTTCAAAATTGATTGTATCAACAGTGTTCTTTTGTTTATTCATGCTTAGAAGAAGTATAAGTTTCGAAACTAAGTTACTCATAATATCTTCATTCAATAATAATTTGATTTCTTGATACTTAAACAACTTAAAAATTTATAAATATTGTTAATAATATGAAATCATATATTTGTATTGGATATAAAAAAATTAGTCATTTTCATTTGTAAAAGTTTTAGTAGAACATTTTATTTTGACCAGTTTGTAACTGCATTAACAAGATGTTTTATTTTTTAGTGTTTTAATGGTTTTTCTATATTCTATAAATAGAGAGAAGAAGTAAGCTCTAAAAAATTTTTTTATGAAATGTATACATTTTTAAATCAGTACATCCGTGTCTATCAAAATATCATAAAATCCAAATTGAAACGTGAATCTCAATTTGAAATTGACTACTTTACAACTTAGAGGTACTTACATTTAAACATAAACCGAATATTATTTTGGCTCTTTGCAAAAAATCAGTAATACTGTGATAAGATACACAAAGGATATTAAACTGTTCATTGATAGCATGAAATAATGATACAAGTTTATCATCTTCAAATAATTGTGATCTCATCTAAAATGAATAATACAATTGTTTAAATTAATATATTTATTTGTCCCAATAGTAATTGATCATGTTGTTGCTAACTCAAAATATATCTTACTTGAGGCGTTAACAGCATATTAATAACAGTTATTGTTGCCAATTTTAAAGTTTTTATATTCTGTGATGATACGTGTTTTATTATTGTCTGAATAGGTTCAAACTGCTGAATATGATCAACAGGGTATAGTTGAGTTCTAGGGTTTTTTATAATTGTCATAGTTCTGGTGAATGGGCTTACATTTAAACATGGTTTGGATGACAGAATATTATTAGAAAAAATGCTAAAAACAAAATATAATACACAAATATTAAAATTCATAATATATGTAGTTGTATAATAATAAGCATACTTAGATTTCTCGGGAGTTCTTTTTTTCTCAAGATCAGAGTCCCAATTGTATGGTTTTAATATTAGTACTGGTTTTGTGATCACTTCATCATCCAATTCCTGAAGTAATTTTTCATCCAGGGAGAAACGTGTCCTTTGAGGTTTATCAATTATATTTCTTTATATCATACAACATTAAAATGCAAAATTTAAATTAATAAAAAGTAATAATTTATAATCATTATTAAATATAACCTGAAATATGTTTGCATAGTAGTACACCAGTAGTACATAACTAATATAACAGTGACAATTAGTCTTAGAGAAAATATAGTTATATACATGTTAAAAAATAATTTATTTAGATTTTAATTACACACTTTTAGTCTCTCAGACGAGTAATATAAATATTTTGTTTTAAATTATCAGAAATTACATTTTGTCATATACTTAACAATGTACATTGACTAAATACTTTTTACTCATCATAATTAACTGCTCAGGAAAAGAAACGATTGCTGACCCAAATTCAAACACACAAACAGTATTATAATACCATTGACCCTTGTACTGTCAAATAAATAAGCCCCATTTGAAAAAAAAAAACTTTTCTAATAATAGTATACTGTATTCATATTAATCTTAAGATCCCCATTGAAAGTTAACTAAATATATTTTTACCTGAGTCCCATTTCAAATGAAGACGAATGTCGTGCAGTAGTAGAAGTGCTTTCTGCTTGATCTGAAATACTTGATAATCTAAAAGGTGAATTATTGGAATCTATTTCTAAATTCTGCTCATGATTTGACACATGATATGTAGCATTATACTGTTCATCATCTGAGTTATCATTATCTATAGTTTCTTCTGTATTAGGTACTTGTTGAACAGGAGGTAAAGCAATTTTAGTAGTTGGCAGAGAAGTAGAAACTGGCACAGATTGATTTTTTAAAGCTCTTTTCAGTCGTTCTTTTAAAAGGCCCATATCTTTTTCAGATATCTGTTTAAAAATAATAGTTTAATATAAAAATGCAAAAATGAAATTCTGTGAACATTTCAGATCTTTAGATAATACAAAAAAATATAAAAATAGGACAGCCGATCAATACTGTTGATAGATTTACCACTGTTATAGTTGGGAAACTGAGAAGGTAGAAGACAATATTATAATTTCTATTTGTAGGCAACAATAAATCATTACTCATAATAACAAAACAAAACAATTCTAAGTTTTTAAATATAATTTGAAATGCCATAATTTTTATGATGAAAATGTAAAGTCATGTCAATGATACAAAGTGCTAAAACACCATTAAAGTGATATGAAAATTGTATTACGTCTAGAAAAGGTTATTATAAGTATTTTCTAAAAATTGAGGTTTATATGATTATTTCTGTCTAAATAACAACATCAAAAGTAAATAAAAATAATAGCAAATTTTCTTATTTTTTCCCATTTTCAGAATATAAATATATGTAATATTTGACTTATATTTTTTAAAAACTTGGACATTTTTGACAAAAATAAATTGATTTATGCTTTAAATACATTAATCATAATGATTAAAAAAAAAAACAACTTTTAACAAATTATGCAGTGTACTTGTTTTAGAAATTAAAGATACTAATTAATGAACAAATTAATATTTAATACTAGCATTCTATAAAATATAACTTGTATAAAAGAAAAATGATTCTTACATTGCCAATCATTTTAAAAAGGGCTTCTCCATGTAACAAGTATACAGCAACAAAAAAATTAAGTGCTGACATACGGACAGAATTATCTCTATCGCCAATACTTTTTGAAATTTCTTTCAATGCAACTGTAATAGATGGCTGACAAATTGATGTACCATAGTTCTCTATCATTGATGTTAAATGTTCCAAACATTCTATAGAAGAAATAAAACAAATTGTTAATAATAAAGCAAATTAAAAATAATGCCTAGTCATATTTGTCCTAGTTAATCATTTTTTAACCATTTGATTTTTATAAATTAATTAAAAATTTTTATCATGTATTTACTTTCTTCCAGTTTTAATTAAAATAGGTTGAACTTTCAATATTAAATGGTAACCTTGATGTTAAATTATTTAGAATACCTATTTTTATGTCAATTTGAATAGAAATTATTCTATTGTAAATACTAACGTAATTAATAATTAATTAGACAGTGTTGAAACTATAATTATTTTTTGTGTAACTAAGTTGTTTAACAGTAATTATTGTTTATAGATTTGTTGGTTTAAGTTCAATTCTAAATCATTATTTCTTAAATTAAATAAATTATATTTTGAATTATATTTAAAGTCAAAAATACTAATTAACCAATAAATAACCTGAGCGCTGTCTAGAGTTCTTAGATTTAAGCCCATCCATAATGTACTGAAACAATTTTGTACACGGAAATACAAAAGCTATTTGTTTTAAAATAGCTCGAACATTACTTCTCACTGCATCTTTTGGATCACCCAACTATAATATAAATTAAATTAACATTATATAAAATGTATTTTTCAAAAATTATTTTTACTTACTTTTATTACTAAATATGGTACAAAACTTTGTACTTCAGTATCATGGAGAATATATTTTTTGGCAATAAGAATATCAAATACGTGTTGTAAATAATCAAGACCTTTTAAAAGTACTGATGGATTAGTATCAAAAAATCTTAAAGTCATCCATTTCAATATTAAATCAAGATTATTAATTAATGCTAAATGATTTTCACTTTTTGTATTTAGGTCCTAGTTAAAAATTGTATAAGTAAATATTAGATACATTTAGTATTATAAATCAAAAATATATTTAATGATATTTATTCCAAACCTACCTCTGAAAGAATATAAATTGCTTTAAGATGATATATGAAATCTGAATCAAACATGTATTTAATTAGTACTTTATTAATTCCAGCATTTATCATTTGATCTCGAAGTTGTTCAACAAATTCATCACGGGGAGTAGTAAAGTTCCATTTTAAAGTCTACAGAATATAAAATGACATATTTTATAATAATTTATGTAAAAATGTAAAAATTATTAATATAGATACAGAATTAGGGGAAATTGTCTGCACATAAAATTTGTTTGCTCTTTAAATTTTAAATAAAATAATGAAATTTATATATTATATCTTTTAAGTTTTGATGAATTAATTGAAATAAATAACTCATATACAAATCACTTTAAAAATAGAAACAAATAATAATTTATAAAAACAAATTTAATACATGGACTCTTTGTATTGTATATTTGGATGATTTAAATTTGTTTAGTGTAAATGGGAATGTGGTATAAAAAATATTACCCAGAAAAAATTGATGTCTTTGTATCTAGCAATTACAATCAATTAGTAAAGAACAGTATTTAATTGTCTTAATTTGTTAAACTATTTAAAAATACCTTTAATTTATGTTCATCTATATCACGTTGATGCTTCAAATTATTTTGTTGGAATAGTATTCCATTGTCTACTTCTTCATTCTTTTTAGCAGTACTTGCATTTATACGATGATTGACATTTTCCTTGATTATAACAATATCTCAAGTATTAGCTTATTATATACACATATATACCAAAAAAATAAACATAAATAAATAAATAATCATTTATTACCTTATTTACTTTAGCAGACATTTTAGGATTCATCTTTGATCCCTTTGATTTAACCGAAGGGTCGGCAATAATTGTAGATTTAATATTAAGTTTTTCTATTGGTTCAACAATTGGTAAATTTGGTCTTTCTCTATCCAATTTATCTCTACAAATCTTCACCGACATAGGCTAGGTATAAAAATTACATTAATCAACTTTAAAATAAATACTAAATAGGTAAATAAAATATTAACACATTGAAATTATACTTTTAGCTTTTCACAAGCTCCATACATAGTGGCATAACCTAAATGTATCATAAATCCGAGTACAGCTTTTTCAGAAGCAATACGAACACTAGAATTTCTGTCTTCAAGACTTACATAAAGAGCTGGTAGCAAACATTTTAACTCATCAGCTGGTATTATCTTTAAAGGCACTATATATATATATACATAAATTCATTATACAAAAACATAACATAATTATGTAGTATAATTTTTTAGTTTATTAGTAAATAATTAAAACCATACTAAGTGGTAAATGTTCTGCAAGCCAAGTCCATAATTCTGTTCTCAATGTTACTGAATTGTGATTAAGTGCAACCAAAAGTATATCACTTCCAAAAAATTCACGATAACCGCATATATCAGCCCAAGTATTCATACATTGACGAGCACTTTGACATTTAAATGTCTAAAAAAATGTGAACATAAACTGAAATATTAATTCTATAAATTATTTATGCAGTAAACTACCTTTGAATCTCCCAATGAATTTAGGACACCGGGTAAATAAACTCTGATATAGTTTTTAAAAGATGATCCCATAGCTTTTGCTAATAATTCCACTAAATTGATTACATTTGAACCAAGACGAGCATTTGAATCATTTATTCTGGTATGTAATTATTATTATTATTTTCAAAATTAATCAATACATTTTAAATATTTAGGAAATATTAGTTTATACCTGTATTTTAAAGCTTCTTTAACTTCTCCCAACTCATGGGTTATAAATTTAGCTTCAGTGATTATGTTATGCAATTTAGTTATAGCATTAGAACGAATCTAAGTATAAATTAATTTAAATAGAATTATATATTTTAAAACCTAATTATTTTTTACTAACTTTCCAATCTTTATCAGAAAATGCATTAATCAGAGCATCAGTTATTTGAGGAGTTATGTCTACTCTGGGCACAATGTCTCTTATATTGACTTCAAAAACTGGTTTTTCATCATCACTTACGAATTCTGAAAATTCAGAAGATGATTTGTTTTTCTTCCCACGTATTGGTTTTGGAGGAACTTTACCTTTATGCTATTTAATAAAAACATTTAAAGCATTTATACATTTTTATAAAATTATTCATACTTTTTCAAATTCGGTATTTATTTGTTGCACTAATGTTGGTTTTTCATTTTCAAAAAACAAACTTAATTGAGGTCCCATATAAAGGTAAATAACACCTAAAAGAGAAATAACAGTCATTCTGACTTGTAAGTTTGAAGCACCCAAAGCCTTTTTGACATTTTGCATTAATGATTTAGGTTCAATACTAAAACATATAATAATTTATTAAAATAAAACATTTTTGTAACCTTGAAAGAATTATACTAATGAGATAAATTAAAAAATTTTAAATTATTCTCCAGCAATTTCTAATTAAATTTGTTTACATAAACAAAATAAGCCATGCACTTACATAAATCCAAATTCCAGAATGGCACTAGAAAGCCAATTTAATGTATCAATTTGAACTTTGGGATTTTTCTGCACAGTAAATGCATGTTCTAATACTAAAGTAGAGACCAGATCCAATCTAGTTGATTCTGCAAAAATAGTTAATATTTCTCCAACTAAATTACCGGTTTTGTTATCACCCAATAAAGAAGAAACATCCTGTATACAACAATTCATACTACTGCTAAAAATATTTAATAATAAAAAAGATAAATACCAAATTTATTAGTAGAAAATAGTTATTATAACATTTTGAATAGGTACTTTGAAACAGGAAACTTTTCAATAATTGTTTTCAAACACTCCAGTCTTAACTTTTGAATTTGAATATTATTGTCTTTAATACCAGGTTTTTTGTTTAGTAACTGTATTAATACCTGACTACTAAATGGTAATGTCTCTGTTTGATCAATTATCTGTTATGATAAAAATTAAAATAAGTATCATGTATACAAATAAAAAAAATAATATACCTGAGCAAATTTTTGAACATTAGTCAAACGAGTTTTCCAATTTGTATCGGTCATGCCATTTATTATTTCAGGAGAACAAAATGTTAAAGCTATTTCGTCCAACTCATCATCATCAATTTTTTTCTCATTATCAATTTCAGTGAGTGCATTTAATTGTTTGCGACCACCTAATTACAAAAGTATAAATAAACATTAGCTTTTTTTAATTGTTTAATTTAATATTTATACCAAGTATATTTGTAGGTTTTTTAGCTTTATTTTTAGTAATAGTTTTATTATTGCCAATAGTTTGATTTTTTTTAGTAGTATTTTTACTAATGGCAGATGTTACTTTTTTTTCTGCGTTATTACATATATTGTTCTCTGGTTTGGTAGTTAACTTTACAGTAATTATAGCCTTTTCAGATGCTTCTTTAATCTGAAATATAAATAATTTGTATAGGTATTCATTTAAAGAGTAATATAATAATATATATCTTCTATTCACTTTGGCAAGTTTGATTGCATCAATACCAGTCAAAAATGGAAGAATATTTTTTTCTGATACAACTTTCCATGCAGTACCAAGAGCTTCGGCAGAATTATCTCGAACAATAGGATCTTTAAAATAAAAATTAATATTAACCAGTAAAATAAGTTTAATACAGTGCAATATAATTTTAAATTCTGATTGAAGCTCATATTGGTATTACAATGATGTGTGCATATTTATTATTATTATATTTTGTATGTTTTTTAAGAACTTTTCTAACAGAAAATAGTAATTCAATCAATAAATGGCAAAAGAGCTTTACTGTAGAATTTTGGATCTAGTTGATGGATTGAAGAAGTCATTTTTAGATTTTTAAGGTATTTTACACACAAATTAGCAAAATCGGGAAAAAATATAGGGATAAACAGACCCATATTTACGGTGTAACAATTTAATGATTTTTCCATTTTTGTCATTTAAGTTTTCCAACAAAAATATTGCTCCAATAAAAAAACGACAAGAGGTCTTTGTTGTTGCATAGTTACTCTAGTTGGTGATTAAGAATGTGAATTTTTCAATTTTCCATGTAGTTCTTTTAATTGAGCAAAACCGAAAAAAAAAAAAGGTATAAGGAACAGAAAAATGTATGAAAATAATTTATTATTAATATTATTTTCAATTTTGTGTTTTGTTACAATTCCGTTAAATATACTCCTAGACACTTGAAATTTTTACAGAAAACTTATATTTGCATTTTCTATACATTTTCTATAAAATTTTAGTCATTTTTGGGCTATTTATTAATTTTCAGAGCTCATTTTTATACAATTTTTAATTGGTATCTAGGTAATCTGTGGTTAAAATTGTTAAACTAAGCAGAAATGCTTGAAAATGTACATAGGAGATTCATATGTTGATATGATGTACTTAATAGAAAAAAAAAATTTGAGTGGAATGTAGAATTTTTTTATAGAAATTTAAGTATCATATTTTGATGAAAATCGTAAATAACTTTTAAAAAACATTCAAACTCTGCTCAAAACCATTTTTCGTTATCATTGATTTATTGTTACATTCGGATATAAATTAAACAACTTTATGCATCATACCTTTTTTATAATATATGTATTAACTTCAATTATATTATAATTAGTTCAGTAAGTTATAAATGTTTAATATATTTTGTCTTTTTAAACTTAATTTCTTTACAAGTTTTACAAAAAGTACCAATATGTACTAGTTATCCAAGATGAAGGCTCTACTTATAAAGGAACATTATTCGATATAAAAAAATTACCTGATCCATTTAATGTTTTAATTAATGCTGTTGTAAAAATATTCAAAAAATGTTTGTTTAACATTTTAGGTGTACATTTGGTAAAACATCGCGCTAAAAATGAAACCGATTCAGCTTTTACTGATGGATTTTTATTATTTATTGCCGTTAAAATGTCATCATGAATAGAGTCTAATGTCATCTGTGGAGAAATTTCAAATAGTATAAATCAAATGATACCTAATTAATTAAATATTTAATTTACATTTAAATAAATAGCATCAACAGCATCTCGTAATGGCAAAACAACATTTGTCTTCTTCTCTTTAAATTTCTCTAACAATGCTGGCATACAAGAAGATGCATAAGTTTCAAATCGTTTTTCTAATCCATTAGCTAACATTGTAATACATTTAGCAGCAATACCAACTATTATTACGTTTGTATCTTTGGTAATTATCTACAGAAAAAAAAAATATAGTACCCTGAATAATAATATATTACAATTACCTTATCAATTTTTAAAATAAAGATTATTAAAAACCACGTTTAGGGTTAATAAAATAATAATATAATGGCTTACTTTCTTTAGAGCTCTCACTAAGTCTCCATATTCCCCATTTTCTAATTTTGGAGCTTTAGATAATATTCCTTCAAGCATATCAATTGCTTCTTTGCGTTCTTGCCATTTTTTTGATTCAAGTTTTTCATAAAAGTCCTTATTCAACTGACAAAGTATGTTGACTGGATCGATATGTACTTCAAGATCATCAACTACATCAAAAACATCCTCCAATACCACATCTATTATTCAAATTGTTTGATTAATATAATTTTATTAGTACAATTATTCTGTAGGTCTACCTCTATTAGCAGTTACCACTTCTTCCATTTTAGCGGTTCGCTCTTGTTGAGAACGTAAATAACGTATAATTTGTGGTTTATCATCTATTATTTTTTCATATTCTGAATCTAATTCTTGAATCTAATGTAAATATTAACTTTTAAATAAACCATTAGGATTATAATTGTATATTTATACTTGTAATGGTTTTAAATTGGCCAAGTTAGCTTTAACAGATGCAGGTCCAATCCAAGAATACAATTCTAATACCAATAATTTTGCTTCATCTCTCACACTTTTATCCTTAACTTCTAATATTGGCTGCAATTTTTTCAATATGGGTTTAATATTTAAAACTTTTGATCCAAAGTTTCTGTAATAAATAATAATACCAAAAATTGGTAAATGTTGTAATTGTAGTAATTTCCCGGTTATTGACATCAATTACTAGTTATGTTGGAGAATGTTAATAGTTGATCTATATAGTAAAAACAGCTAATATATAAAAAAGAAGTGATACAAGACTGCCCACTATCACCTTCTTTATTGAATATCTACGTTGAGCAAGCAATAGAAGAAATAAAACTAAAACTAAAAGATAGGATAGTTGTAGTAATAGGAGAAATTCTAGTATACATGATAAGATTCGCCGATGATATAATTTTGCTCTCTATATTCAAAGAAAATCTGAAAACCAGTTACTGAAATAAGTGACATATTTTTTACATTCAAATTAAATATAAATGCAACAAAAACAACTTAAGAGGCCTTCGAAATGTGGTGCTGGAGGAAAATGGAAAAAATAAGATGGACATTAATAAATTCAAACAAAGAAGTGCTAGAATTAGTAAAAGAGAAAAAACCTTGTTATGCAATTTAAGGTCAAGGCGATGGCACATGATAGGTCATATCCTGAGGCACAATAAGCAACTCCATAACATTATCCTGGAATATATGATAGAAGGGAAGCAATGGAGAAGGTCAAGAAAAAATTAAATAAGTCAAGTAATTAAAAATGCAAGAGTTAGTTCATACAAACAACTTAACAAAAAGGCATACACAAGAGATTCTTGGAGAGATCATTTATAGTACACCAATCTACAGATTGAATGCTCAGAATAAAAAAATATTTTTTTATATAAAAAAGCTATTATAATCATCATCAACCAATAGAATTGGTAAAAGATGTCATTTAGTTGTGAAAGATATACATTTGAATTTAAAACACATTTTTTTACATTTACCTATATAACTGAATCATTTTGGTAAATGATGTCATTGACCGGAAAATTATATCATTTACTAATTTACGTCTTTCACCGTAATATATAAACTTTAAAATAAATTATTTATTTGAATTTCATTTTTACTTTATTGATTGAGTAACAGCTTTAATACAAGTAGTAACAATTTTAGGAAATTTATGATCCATTCCTTTAATTAATTCATCTATTACTATATCTTGTTTCTCAATTTCAATAAACATTAATGTAATCTGTATTGCAATATCTCTAGTTTTAGATTTTGGTGCACCATAACATTTTGTTATTAACCCAGTCATGATATCTCCTACCGCACTGTTGGTAAAATGTCAATTAAACAAAATTGGGTTTAACTAATATTAAAATTACCAACCGTCCAGCAATAGCAGCATTTTCCACAAATACCAATGTGGCTTCGAGGCCTTTTTCCTGTGCAACAGCATTACTATCAATAACAAACTTTTTTACTATCCCTATATATTTGTTCCAATCTTGCGATTTTTTGTCCAACTGTCCAAATAACTGAATAGCTTCTTCATAACCACTTAATCTAGCCTTCCATAACTAAAACAAATAATTATGATAAACCAAGAATATATGGTATTAGTTTTAAAAATATAGTCTTGTACAGAATAAGACACAAATAAATCAGTAATTTAGTTTTATATTATCAACCATTCAAATAAAATATTTACTCTCAGTATTTAATAATAGAAATCAATAGGAATAAAATATTACTTTATGCACACATCGTTCTTCAATTGGTAACTTTGTAAACAAAGTGTCTACTTCAACATTCATTGTTTTATAAAATATAGTAGACAATAATATAAATTTCTATTGATTATTCTGAAAAAAAAAAAACATTCATAATTATAGAAATTAACATTACAAACATGAAAGTTAACAGATATATTAATCTTAATCAAGGTTTTTCAAAACATGTGTGTTGTAATTTTAACAAAATCTAAGATAACCATTTTATAAATATATTTTGAAATAAAATTGTGGTGTTACAAATATTTATTAATAAACAATCGTTAAGTTTTTACAATTTTTTTGAGGTTTACAAAAATTAACAAAATTGTTTTTTTCCCCCATTTTTCATAGAAAAATTAACGAATTGATAGATAATATTTAGTAATGGCATTCGAAAAAATTTAAATTATTATAAACTTCAAAAAATAATATCAATCAATTTGTCAAAATAAATTTATAGAAACTTAATGATTAATGATCATTAATAACGCTAAAAATTAGTTTCAAAATATATTTATAAAATGGCCATCTTGGATTTTGTTAAAACAATTTAAAAAAAAAAACATATATTATAATAAAGGAATCATAGGGTACATGTTTTAGTAACTATTAAGAAAAAAATTTGAAAAAATATTGAACACAACAATAGTTATTGCATTTGTTGAATCTTTATGGGACACTCAGTATTCTAAACCTAGATCATATTTGAATAATCTAACCTTTTTATCATTATTATCAGAAAACGAATTTTACCACATTTTCTAAATATTATAGGATACAGATAAAAATGTCAAAGTGAGCTAAAATTTGTTTTATGCACTAGGGATATAAAAAATATAAAATACTCTAAATAAAAAATAGTACCTATATTACTTTTTTTTACATAATTGAAGCATTTTGGATTTTTAATTTTATGCAGAACATAATGATTTATGTTGGGTTTTTCATAATCTTGTTTAGATAGAATAAGAAATAATAGAAAAAGTTGTCATCTATGTGAATTGATTAGAAAAATACTAAAATTTCCATTTTATTAAATATTGCACAATAGCTATGATCTATTTTTAGATAGCCCAGCATTATGGCCTGATAATTGAGTATAGGAAAATTTGATATGAAATATATCATTTTTATAGCATTAAAGGTTATGAATTATATAATGTTAAAATCTATCCAATATAAAAATGTGTCAAAATTCAAAATCTTGAAATATTTTGACAGTTAATTCAGGTAAATTTAAAAAAAAAATGCTATCGCCAATAAGCACTAATATTGTTATCTATAGTTAGGTACTAACTAAACAGATGAATCAAATGTTTGAAATATAATAAATATTAAAATACATTATATCTTTGCTACCTATATAAAAATAATAATACATAATACATAGCATTAATACACTTTTTATGGTTTGCAAAAATCTGAAAATAAATCAATAGGTATTAGGTACCTTAAAATTCTTATAACTACAATACAATTAAAATTAGTTAACAGAACAGCCGTATATAAAATAGAAATAAAATAAGTATTCATAAAACAATGACTGTACTTACTGTACTTTTAAATGGCTAGATAATTAATTATAATAGCTATTAACTTTTATATTCACTATAAATATTGTATTAATATTAAGTAGGTACCTGATATTATTAAGTTTTAAGTCTCAGATATCAAAATATAAACTATCCAGTATTCAATAGAACAAGTATAACACAGATTATAAGTACTTACCTATTAAAAATAGTTCAGTCACATCAGTTTTCTTTTCCAAATGACGTAGGTAATCTAAAAATTCCAATAATAGAATTTCACACCCTCGTTACTCTTAAAACATCAAATTGTGGTACAATAAAAAATCAATTTTATAAAATCTTTATAAGTAGAAAGGTTAAAAGATAAAATGTCTTATAATTTATAACAGGAAAATACAATTATTATAACCCGTAAGCATTGAAATTCTTACTAAAATACATTAAATGACTAATATTGCAGTAAAGCCTACATTAAGAGAGAAATCTATTGACAGTGTGACCAATATGATCACAACATAGACTTATTAATAAATATTAAAATTATTAATATGTCTCTATACATCGTATATTCGCATACTATTCAAAGAATTTCTGTGGAATAATGACGGGCACCACTGCTGCAGCAAGGTTTATGGATACCTAGTTTACCTAGTTAACATCATGATATTAGTATTAATTAATATTAATTATCATGATGAACATGATTTATGATATTAGTATATTAGACTTTAACTGTCGCGGTCGTAACTCGTAATCGTTAAGCTTCACAAGTCATAATCTCCATCCCGGTAGTCCCTCACTCCTTGTATGTCTCCCTATACACGATCAAGCCATGATGGATTAATCTACCTAGAATCGAGCAATTGACGAAATAGACGGTTTTCCAGATGCATGTGAGTTTATTAAATTAAATTAAATAAATTTTAGTCGGTTCAATTTATAGGTAATTTTACTTTTAACAATCACCTTTTTTAATTGTTATCATAAATTATTAAAATCAAAAATATGTGTTCAAATTACGTATTATACTTGATGTTTATTAATTAGTTTTTACTATTGTAAAACTATTAAAACTACTATTTTGTACTATTTGTTTCTGTATAATTAGTAATTTTTAAGTTTGATAAGGAATGTTAGGATACAATTTTTTTTATTTTTAAACAACAGGTATACAGTCTATATAACAGAATAAAATAAAGCGTACCTAAGAGGTAATAAAACTTATGAAGGTTTGCCAGAAGAAGCCACCCACTTTGCAACACTACCTGTCTACCTATGACTTGTAAATATTACTGTAAGATTCTGAGTGTAGCGAGGAATTTATTGGTTTTACAATGGTGTTTATTTTTTTTTATCTGTAAACAATTTTTTTACCAGCAATTTTATTCTGATTTACAATGATAGCATTTTTTCTCAAAGGGAATCTGACTGGGGTGGTACTTTAAGGAGGTCATGTTTTTAGTTTCCCAGAAGTTTTCCCAATAAATAGGAAAACTGGAACATATGTATAATATTAAATAAATATTATTAAAGAAAATATATATAATGCATATGTAATTATTTTACCATGTACATAATATATATTGTTGACAAAGCAACACTATCAACCAAACTCCTCTCAGAATTGTTTTTTCGTTAGCAATGGTTAATTGTAGTTTACAGATATATATTAAATGTTCTACTACCCTCCATATTTCTCATCATTAACAGTGGTTGCACCTGTCCCCATTATTCTAGAACACCTTTTTTATTAACTAATATGTATAATATGTCATAGATAGAGAATATGGTCTAGAACAGCGGTTCTCAACCTATGGTACGCGTACCACTAGTGGTACGCGAAAAGCTCATAGGTGGTACGCGAAGAAAATTTCTCTTTATAAAAAAATTTGGAATGAATCATTAAATATTATTTGGTTTATTTGATGGTGTGGAGGTCGTTTGTAATCGTAGCAATTAAGATAGCGATATTCTATATATATATAATATAAATCGATAAACTTTATCAAATATACCCGATAAAGCGTATTCTTAATTCACAATAATGCGTTTTTACCTTAGTTTCGTGAGTTCTTTCAGTTTATTCACGAGTGTCATACGAATTGTTTGCATCAAGTTTATTTTATATTAAAATTTTACATTTTTATGTAGTTTTTTCTAACTTTTTTGTGATATAAAATTAAGTAAAATGAAAAGATTTTTCGAAAGCGGAAGCTCAAATACTAAAAAACAGAAAACACAGGCGAATCGTAAATATGACGATAGTTACTTACAATTTGGATTCGTTGTAAAATTTGGTTCTGAGAATTCTACTCCGTTACCTCAATGTGTAATTTGTCAAGAAACACTTTCGAATCAAAGCATGAAGCCATCGCTACTTAAGCGCCACCAATTATCGAAGCATCCAGAAACAGAAAATAAACCTATTGAATTTTTTCAGAGAAAAGTTACTATTTTCCGAAAGGAATCGAAATGCATGTCTAGTTTTACGAACTTTAATGAAAATATCGTTAAAGCATCTTATTTAGCAAGTTTAATTATTGCTAAAGATGGAAAACCACACACAATTGGGGAAACATTAGTGTTGCCAGCAGCAAAAGAAATCGTGCGATGTGTTCTTGGAGACAAGGCTGCAAAAGAGATAGAAAAAGTGTCACTTTCAAACGATACAGTCAAAAGAAGAATTGATGACATGTCGTCGAATATAAAAGAAAAAATATTGCTTTATGTGAAAGATTGTAATTTCTTTGCTCTACAAATTGATGAGAGTACTGATATTGCTAACATGGCTCAATTAATTGTATTCATACGTTTCGATCGCAATGATGAAATTATTGAAGAGTTTTTGTTTTGTAAGCCTTTACAAACCCACACAATATCAGAAATTATTTTTACAACCATTAATGAATACTTGATTGAAATAGATCTGCCGTGGAGTAAATGTGTGGGTTTTTGTTCTNAAGATTATTCACAGTATTATGTAACGAAATGGGCAGTACTCATAACTCTCTTCTTCTCCACACAGAGGTAAGGTGGCTTTCACGAGGAAAAGTCCTCACCAGACTATTCGAGCTAAGGTCAGAAGTTTTATTAATTCTGACTGATATTGATGAAGAAAAGTCCAAATTGTTTTGTGATGTCGAATGGCTGTCAAGACTAGCTTACATGGCTGACATATTTGACCGTTTAAATATTTTAAATTTAAGTCTGCAAGGATCAAACACAAACATGTTTTATACTAGTGATAAAGTTAATGCATTTGTGAGAAAGTTGGATTTATTTATTTCGCAAGTATCTAAGAATGATCTTTCAGCATTCGAGACACTTAACACATTTTGGAACGATAACGAAGTTCAGCCAAATTCAAATATAATTACAGACATTTCGGAACACCTACAATCACTAAAATCCAATGTTTTACAATATTTCCCTGAGGATAACTCAGAAATGAAATGGATCATAAACCCTTTCGTAGATGATTATATTAAGAATATTCCAGATGGCATTTTGGCAAAAGAATTATTTATTGACTTAACCAGTGACTCTACCCTAAAAACCGCTTTCAATAACAAAAATATCACTAATTTTTGGCTGGACGTGAAAAAAGAATACTCGGCATTGTCCACACAAGCTTTACAGTTTTTAATCCCTTTTGTATCAACATATCTGTGCGAAAAAACATTTTCTGACTTATTGTACATAAAAAATAAATATAGAAGTAGATTAAACGTAGAAAGTGATTTAAGACTTAAAGTTACCAATTTGGAGCCCGATATTGATGTCATCATTCGTTCAAAACAACACCAATCGTCTCATTGAAGTAAAAAGTAAACCATAATAATTATAATAATTTTACATATTTAATTTGATTTAATTTAATTTCTTTTTGTGCATTAATTACTTTATAGTTTATTATATATACATATTTATTTTATATTATCTCATTTTGTAATTCCTAATAAAATAAAATTCTATACATGTAACATAAACGTATACATTATTAATAAGCAAAAAAATGGTCAGGTGGTACGTAGAAATTTTCAAGTGGTGTAGGTGGTACGCGACTATAAAAAGGTTGAGAACCGCTGGTCTAGAAGAAAATTTTAATTTTGTTCCAAAATAAATTTAATATGGGCCGTTTGGAGGAAATATTAAATTTACAGAACAAATCTAGTTTACAACTCAAGCAGTTTTTTTTTTCCAAAATGTCTGTTTATAATAAAATAATAAAGTGAACACCAAATTATTAAAATGATTTAATACTCGTAAATAAATATATAAATAAAAAATAAATAAATAAATGAATGTGTCACCTGGAGTTTTATAATAAGTGTACTATGTGACCAGATTTGAATTAAAAATTCATCATCAGGTATACCACGTACAAATGTAAAACTTGACTAAATATAAAAATTATACAAATTGATTGTTTTACATAGAAATAATTTATTTTAAAAGGAGAGATTATTTAAAATTAGTTATTATTTGAGTATTATATGGGTAATTATTATTATTAGTCATAGATATGTTAAGAAATATAAATTATTTGGTTATTATTTATTATCTAAAATGTATTTATATAAGATATTATTTTTAAAATCGGTTTGTACATTTAAAATATTCTTAAAATTATTTTTCTTTATTTCATTGTATATATGTAATTCTTCTAAAACTGAATTAATGTAAATGTTATCTTGGGTATTTAATATTTCTAAGTCTGTATTAATATCAAAGATTATATTATGGTTATTTTCTAAAACATGTTTAGTGAAATTTGAATTAGTGGCAGACCTTTTTAATTTCAGTTCAGAAATGTGTTCTTTATATCTTATTTTAAAATTTCTATTTGTTTTACCTAGGTATATAAAATGTATTACAGTTACATTTAAGTTCATATATATCAGCATTTTCAAAAGAAGAGAGATATTTTGTGAAATTTCTAGCAATAACAGCTTTTTTTCATAATAATTGGCTTTTATTTTTATTTTTTTCTGGCTTATAGCAGTAAATGATTTAGTTACAGCAACTGTATTGTTTAATGTAGTTAATGTAGCCTATTACTTTTTTATCTTTATGTACATTTCTATGAACAAATTCATAAAAAAATATAATGTGTACAAACTAATATCTACTACTAATCTATACTACATAACTAATTGCTGTTTTCGATGTAGATAGCAAAAGGTGGTCATTGGTATTATTATCATCAGTACCATTACCTGTGTTAATATTTTTTGCCTGTAATACCACATCATCAATCCCACTTAACCCACTATCAAAAGAACATTTTTGTTAAGGTTAATTTAAAAGTCTATATACTTATATATGAAACATTTAATACCTACCAATAGTTGAACACTTGTTAATTTATTAGATTTTATTCAATTTTTGTTTCTAGTAATCAAACACCCAATTAAATAATAATAGCAAACATTTATACAGGTACTACTTTTATACTTAAATATGACCTAGAATTTGATAATATATACAATAAAACCATTAAACAAAATACTTAAAGTTTAATATTATACAAGTTATTAAGCTCCCACAATCGTGCCTGGATTCGAACCTACGTTACTTGTGAAACTTAGCAACGTTTTAATTTGATAAAAATAACATGGAGGTTATCAAATTGTAGTTAAACAGTATCGCCAATATGTCCAAAATAATAATACAAACTAATTATTAGAAATAGAACATTTAAATTTTAAAGATAATAATTAAACATTATTCAATTACTAAAGGGTGTTTAACCTATAAAACTCTCAAAATTAAAATATCTATAAATAGCTTAAATGTTTTTACAATTTTACTACTAGTAAAGACAAATTCGTAAATTAATTTTTAACTAAATTATAACAAAAATACAAAATCGAAAATAATGAAACCATAAAGGCCGTAAACTTAATTTCTTTTTCTACACGAAAAATCAAAAAACGATCTTCTCAACACATCAACTAGATCCTAAATCCTACAAAATAATTATCTTGTCATTTATTGACAGGACACGATTACTCGTAGATAAGTTGTTAACGGTCAGAAAAAAAAACAAGCACACATCATAGTGAAACCAATACATTCCTTGATGCGCTCAGAATCTGAAATTAATCAGATTCTCAAAATATTAAATACCTAATACAGTAGTTAGTTATTTAAGAGAACGTTATACCCGCATCTACTCTCTCAGTCTAACTACCGGATAGGTAACATACATAAATAATGCTTATGCAGAATAAGTAAAACAAGATTAATTTTTATTTTAGAATAAAAGTACCTATTATGAAATTTATAGAGAACAATATTTTGTAGAGAATTGCATAGGTGTTTTTTGAAATATGAAATATTAAAACAGTTAGTTATTTAAAAAAGCAAACAAATAAAGGTTTTTGTATATTTTATATCGAACTGTATATTTCATAATAGGTATTTTTACTCTAAAATCAAAATTAAGCTGGTTTTACTTATTCTGCGTAAGCATTGTTTTTGTATGTTACCCGGTAGTTGGCCTGAGCCAATAGATACGGGTATAACGTCCTCTTAAGTGTTAACGAACTACCTATATGAAATTTCAATAGTAATATATTATAAAATTATTTACATCCCAAGGATGCATAAACCGTATATAATATCAATTACATTAATTTTATTTCCATATAATCTTATGAGTTATATCGATTATTTATGATTAGTTTTAAATGAGTAAAAAACATTAAGATTTGCCAAGATAAATGACCTTTTTTGTTATTCTGATAATTTATGTATACATTGCTTTAATCGGTAAATTCGCCCTTAGGACCATTGGTATAGGAGGTATGGGCTATAAAAAATTTAAATATTACGAACATTATTAAACAATGTTTTCAAAGTTTGTACATATATAAATAAAAATCGATGAATTTAAAATGTGTAAAATATTATTTCCCGCAAATTAGTTATATGAGTAATTTAACTAAGATATTTTTGTTAAATATATAGTTAGATTGTTTAATTTCATATTTTCACGTATAAAATTGCATAAAGTGGTTCGGGTGTAATTCACGAATGCCATCATCTCGAACCGCCACACTCTTAACCGACGATATAAATTATTGTTGTAGGTACCATTTTCATGTTAATTAATAAAACCCTTTTTTTTTTTATTAACTTCGCACATCGACGTGTTATCTTTAATTAATTATTACAATTAATTATTGGCCACGAGCGTCGCGTGACCCCACAGCTCGTGTATGCCAAAATATTAATGTTTTTTTTAAGGAAAAATCAGTGTGATCATTCTCAAAATAAGTAATATTATTTAATTACAATTACAAACATTAATAAATTATTAATGTGTAATTGTACAATTAATCATTTGTCCACTGTATATCATATTATCAACTATAATACCTATTATAATATTATGATATTAGATCGTAGATTTTAGAATATTGTCTTCCCTACAAACTTTAAATATGATTAGTCATCCGGTTTTAATTTTCTAGACACGAGTGGAATTTTGCTGGGACGGTAGTTAGACACCTGATATGTTCACAGATCTCTTATATTTCTTACTATTTTTTAGACGTGGTTCAATTTTAATAAAATACAACACATTCTGGCGATTTTAAAATTATTTATTACTAATTGACATTTTCTATTTTATTTTACTATTTATTTGATTTTATGTAGATATAATTATTTTAGCCGAGCAAAAATTGTACACCAGGTACATGATAAATTGTGCTAAGTGGTTCACAAAAATATTGACCGTAATAAAATAGTTTTGTATAAACTTGTTTAAGTTCAAAACACGGTTCAAGACAAGTTTAAAATGAAATATTATAAAATACCTATAACTACTACCTCGCGATTTCACTGTAATAATTCGCTATGGTTTAGATTAGATCGACAATATTTTATCTGTTACTGTAGAAATTTCGATAACGCTGCCGCTCTGGTTTGAGATCACCTTCACGCTATCACGAATGATGATAAGTATGTTATGTGGCCTATATGCGCGCATGTAATATATTGAATTGAACTATAATGATTAATGAATACGAGTTTTTGTTGTAACTATTGATTCTGTGATTTGTTTAAATATTGAATTATACTTGTACGTTATGGTATATATAAACTATATACGTGCATATTTACGGGAATTTAGTTTTATCTTCGAAATGTTTGTATTCAAACTATTAACAAAATAATAATGCGAACATCTTATACTCTTATCGTCTTCTTATTGCATGGAATGATAAAGCTTGTAAGATAATAATAAATAAATTAACCAGTCTGTCATTATTATTTTATTGATAACTAACTGAAAAATCTTTGATTTTATATTATATCATCTCTCTTCCCCAGTAATTATATATTTTACATCAAAACTATATGAATATGTATGTATAGGGATGTGTATAGTACGTTTAATTAATTTTTTTTTTTTGTGTCATTTTCAAGTTCAAATAATATTATATTTATAAATAATATACAGCGTGTTCCATTGAAATTTAACAAATGCAATTACTTTTGTTCTATTCAATATTTTAGATTCGGAGCGTAGCAAGGAATCTTTAGATTTTATGATGAATGTTTTCTGTTTCTGAACAATAATTTTATCAGAAATCTTGTTCCAAAGTATAAATGTTAGTACCTTTTCTGAAAGGAAATTTTCTCTAGTTAGAGCATTAATAATTGGTCATTCATTAATTTTCTAAGGGGATTTCAAAATAATTGGTAAAACCCAAAAGAAAATTATTGGTAAAACGGTAAATATTTACGGCACACCAAGGCGTTATCGATTTCATTATTTTAAAATTGTTGCATACATAATGTTT